TATATCCACAATGAATAGATTTGAAGGACACTTCTCTTTTGGGTGGTGGTGGTAGTGGTGGTGGTAGTGGTGGTGATTAATTTCAAGAATTTAGAAGAATCTTTGCTCTGATCAATCCACTGTCTCCTGAGTTTTCTTTACTCATGGGAACCAGGGAAGAATTAGAGAACTTGGAGATGTTCTCAAACAGCTGAAGGGGGGGGCATATGAGCCACGGCCCACCTGTAGAGGTGAAGCTAGCTCCCCTCCAAGAGGGCACTTGGGCAGGAGAGGCAAGGAATGGCCAAGGGAGGGCTGGACTTGCAGGTGTGACCAGAATCAGCATCCCTTGGGCTGAGGTTTCTCAGAGCACCTGGGATGGGCTTCACATGGTGAAGCCATGATCCTTCATGAGGCCACCCCATGTTGTCCCACCCCAGTTAAAACGTTCTAGGGTTTTTTGGTTGGTTGTTTGGTTTTTAAAATCAAAGAAAATGGTCAGACTAGACCCCTTATCTCTCTCTCTACAGACTGCTTCACGGACTCTTTGCTGTTGACGTTGATCTCCTGGTAGCATGACCTTTTGGCCTTTGTAAGACACACAGCCTTTCTGTATCAAGCCCCTGTCTAACCTACGACCCCAGAGTGACTGACGGCTGTGTATTTCTGTAGAATGCTGTAGAATCTGGTTTTAGTTGAGTCTTTACACTTAGAATTTGAAAGGGTATAAAACAAAAAGAAAACATTCCTCATGTGCTTTGTAGCCTAAAAAAAAAAAAAAGGAAAAAGGAAAACTCACCATTTCTTTCTTTTTGTTTTAAAATAAAGAAGCATACACATCAGCATCCACGCCCTCCCAGTCCCGGCTTGGCATGCCTAGCACACAGAGGTGCTGGGCCTGCTGCCGCCAGGGGCTCTGGGTGGTACATTGGCTGGCAGGAGTGTGCTGGGGCCGAGCTTTCTAGAAAGTCACTGGCCACTGCAAACCACCCAGCCTGTCAGCCACCCAGACACCACAGACACCACCAGGCAGTGGCAGCTCTGGTTTCCCCAGCCCCACGCCATACCAGGTTTGTACAGAAAAAGCACAGCTCTGGCCAGTAGCTGCCAAAAAGAATACCAGTCATCTATGGAAGTGTAGCCCTGTAGAAACAAGTTCCCCCCACCCCCTTTCCAGATTCCCTTTGTGATTTTCTTTAATTTCTTTCTTTTTGTCCTGATGAGTACTTCATATCACATACCAGATCGGCTCTCTTGGTCTGTGGGAAATGGGTTGGGCTTTTCCCTTTGGCATCGGACTCCAGTCTTTCAAGTGGATGCCGTCTCCCTCCCCCCCCCCCCCTTGTGTGTGCCTCTCTCCGACTTTCCTTTGCTCCCGTGACCTGTATTTGCTCTTTCTCATGTGGGGATGTTTGTGCTGCAGATAAAAAGAACAAAAAAAGTTTTTAAATACCACAAGATGGAAAACACAAAAAAATTTAAAAAGATGGAATGTAGTGTTTACATTAAAGTCACCGTTTTCATGATCAGTCCTATGTCATTTCTACTGACTAGAATCCAAACCCCAGACCTCTTCACGGTTTCACTTTTAAGACTTAATATTTGCTGAAGAAGACCAGTCACAGCCATTTCAAATAAAGAGGAGGCAAAAAGACAAAACACACAAAATATTTAAAATACTGAAAAAAAAAAAAAAAACTTGAAAAAGAAAAACAGAAAAAAAAAAAAAGCCCACGGGTCTTTCTAAGCCTTTCTATTCCCAGTCGGTGAGGTTTCTGTGATATCTTACACACTGCCAGTCTACTTCTCTAATGGAAAATTCATGTGTAGCTCAATAAAGAGAATGTTTGTCTGTATTCGAGTCTCTTACCCTCTGCCTTCCAGACAATGGTTACTCCAGGGGCTTTGTTCTCACAGGAGAGGGAAGGAGGGACCTGACTCAGCCTTAAACACCTGGGGATAAAAAATTCCTACAGACCTTCTGATTCCCTCTCTCTACTATCACCAGGGGAGCCAGTTCAGGGTGCAGTGGGTGGGACAGCTTCCCAGTGATTCCTGGGAAATAGAGCAGAGGACTGAACCTCTTCTGGCTCCTCCTCACACTTGGCTGGTTTTGTCTGTTTTTGGTGGGACTGAGGACTAGGAAGGGAAAAGTGGAGGGAGAGCAGGCCACATCACCTGTCTTTACTACCACAGTGGAAGTTCCTCCACAGTGGAAGAATGGGGGTCCCAAAAAGGCCAAGTTGCCCAGACTCTCTGCACCCATGGGGTCAGTCACATCTGCTCTGGTGCCAAGGATAAGCTTAGGCTGTTAGCCCGGGTGACTTTGTCTCCCTGCAGGCTGAGTGCACACAGAGAACCAGAAAAGCTCAGCCTGGCCCCCAGGGTCTGGGCCTCTTCTCCAGGCTGCTGGTCACCACCATGGTTTTGCTGCAAGAACTAGCAAATGAGTTGAGACTGGGACCTGGAGGGAACCACAGCTCACTATAATCCTTGCATCCCATCCATGGGCCGGTCCTGAGTAAGCACTTGTCTCCAGTGAGGAAGGAGAGCCTCACAGAGACCTGCTAACTGGGTCCTCTACACAGCCCCAGGTCAGGAAGTCTTCTCCAGGATACCTGCCTTCAGTCATTTCAATCAGCAGGGGTTAGAGGTAGGGGTCAATAGTTTCAGACCCCAGATGACAAGAGTTCTGTTCCCTGCTGTCATGAGTCACCCCTTAGAGCTCCTCTGCCAGGTCACACTGCTTTCCCAGCACTTCCCTTGCCCTGCTGCCCCCCAGAGGGGGCCTCCACTCTACATCTATATTGATGGAAAGGTTTGTAATCCAGGTCACACTTTGACTTTGTACCACTGGTCTCAGAGGACAAACCAAGGTCCAAATGGACGGCTGAAACAAAACATTCTGCTTTCCAAAAATGAGTCATATTCTAATAGGGTTCTTTCCCAACTGTCAAGTAAGTTTTGTAGACAAAAAACAACGTAAGTTTCCTCACCTTTTTTCTTTTTCATGCTGGGCAAGAAATCCAGAAGCCCCATGCTGCTAGGGAAGTGCTCTATCATTGAGCTACACCTCAGCCCTGCCTTATCTTTTGTTCAACAGGAGGTCAGGAAGCGTTTTTTTGGAAAGGATGCGAGGAAAAAATGAAAAAACAATTAGAACAAGAAGCATGGGAGCAGAACCTATGCTTTTTGTTTTGTTTTTTGTTTTTGCCAGCCTGGGCAAAAAGTTAGCAAGACCCAATCTCAATCTATTACCTAGGCATGGTAGTGCACACCTGTGATCCCAGCCACTTGGGAGGCATAGGTAAGAGGACCATGGTCTTAAGGCTGGCCCTGGGCAAAAACACAAGACCTTACCTGAAAAATAAAGCAATAAAGGGGCCAAGGGCATGTCTCAAGTGGTAGAGCAACCGAATGCAAGGCCCTGAGTTAAAAGCCCTGGTGCCACCAAAAATAAAGTTCCACAAGTGATTCAAACATACAGCCAAACATTAGAACTACTTTTAGTCTACCAGCTAGCAGGTGAGCTGAAATGGATGCCCCAAAGGCTGGAAGGATGACCAGGGCAGGCAGGGAACAGCACGACTCAACAAGCTCCACTCCAAGGCCCTGGCTCCGTCTTATGTGCCCTGCTCTCATGATTCTCAGATTCCTTTCCCATAGTCACAACACAGAACTTCCAAGCCCTTATCCATAGATAGCACTGTCACACAGATCAAGTGGGAATCAGGGCCAGGGGCCACTTGAGCACCTAGGATTTACACCAACACCGGTAAAACATCCATAGACTGTAATTCTCTTTGGCACATAAAAAGCCTCAAAACTTGAAAGGGGGCTGGGTGCCAGTGGCTCACACCTGTAATCCTAGCTACTCAGGAGGCAGAGATCAGGAGGATTGTGGTTCAAAGCCAGCCCAGGCAAATAGTTCGTGAGACCCTATCTTGAAAATACCTAACACAAAGGGCTAGAGTGGCTCAAGGTGTAGGCCCTGAGTTCAAGCTCCAGTACCAAAAAAAGAAAAAAAAAATTGAAGGAAAAAAATAAAAACTAGGTCAATTAAGAAAATGGAAGAACTGGAAGAGGCAGACCAGTTCCAGAGAGGGCAACTCAACCACCATCCTCTCTGCATTGTGCTGTCTACACCCAGAAGCCCGCTATCGCTCTGCTGCCCCAGGGCTGAGCACAAGGCAGACCACCTGACCCTGTGCCAGCTGGGACAGGGAAGGAAGCCAATGGGAGGAGCCTCTCTTCCTCACCACCACTGCCATGAGCCCTTGCCCCCAAGAAGTGATGAAAACTAGGAGCCATTTGTAGCACCAAGAATCCTTAACTGCGCAGGTGCAAAATCTAAGGGTAAACTTGGGCTTTCTCTTTATGGGTCACCTTAATTCATTTTAGGCACTTCTACTTTAATCACTATTGATGTTCTCTAATGTTTCAAGACCCCCTAAAATTAACTCTACACAAGTTTTTCTTTTCATACATCTAAAACATTAAGAACATGTGGAATTAGTGTCACCCTTCTATTTGTGCGAACATGCAAATATGATGTAATTCAAGAAAATGAAATAAACTTTTTTTCCCCACTTACCTTGAAAAGATAAAATGAATACAAGGAGAAGAAACTCAGGGCTGCCTTCTCAGAGCAAGAAGAAACAAAATCCCCCAATTCAAAAGGATCAAAAACACCTAACCCCAAATGGCAGACCGAAGTGATTGGGATTCAATGTCGGCTCCTTTGAAAAAATGCCTTTGCTTCCAGCCCCACACAACACACTAGAAGAGTTTGCTTTTTATTATTATTGTTTTACAATAAAAACAAATAGCTATGCTCTCAGCAAAACAAAACACATTTTTTAAAAAATCACAGAAATTTACTAACAGCATTTCAAGGTAAGGCTTTTGAAAGATTTATTGAAATAAATTATCTCTGCCTACATATTTACTTACCACCCTTTTTTCAATTACTTGTCAACCTTCTAAAAACTTCCAGTTATGTAAAATACATTTAACTTTGCCAATAATTTTAGATAATACTGGATTGTTCCCAAAAGGACTACCATAAAACTATGCTTTAAAACATAAAAAAAAAAAAAAATCCAATGGGACCTAAAAGTGATTATGTAACCTATGACTGCATGTTTCAAATCCTTAAAGTTAAATGTGTGAAGAATTTGAGATTTGGGACTTAGTCTGCCCGAATGCATGTAGAGTCAACATCTTTCCATGTTTAATTAACCAACAGAAACAAAGTGATAAAAAGGAAGGGCTCCAGGGAAGAAAGATACAAAAGTTATCTTACTTCTTCAATAATGCCCTCCAAAACTTACTCTCCCCATCTGGCAAGACCCACACCTTCTCCAAGGACCAAACCCATAGGCTTTGCCACTGCCTAATTTACTTGACCAAGAAATTAAAACTAGAAGCAAAGCTTGCTTTTAACCTCTTCCCATGTCCAAAGGGGGCAGGAAATGGGGAAGAAAAAGGAGGAAGGACACCCAGGGACAAGCTTGTGTGATGCAAGAGCACCAGAGTGAATAGCAGTAAAGCCAGCTGTGGTTGGGGGCTCAGGTCAGTCGCAAAGCGTCTTGAGAAAGAAAAGGGACTCCCCTCACTCCTCAGCCCTGCCTCCCCTTCTGCTCCAGGTAGCAAACCAGTTCTTTATAGATGCTCTGCTGACACAGAGGTCCAGGAGCCTGTGAGTCTGGCCTCTAGATCATTCTGAATGCTTCCTCACAAAGGAGAACCGTTGACAACAGATGGACTCCCTTGGTCTCCTGTGGTGTGGCGCTGGGCTCCTGCAGTGTCCCTACCTACCTCACTGCTATTAGGTGTCCTCCCCCAGTGCACCCGCTTCCTGCCAGTCGTGGCACCAAGAATGCCAGCATCTGTTGTGACTTAATGCACAAAGCAGAAATTGAAGGTGCCTGCCACAGGCAGGTGGTTGCCCACTCCTCCTGCTTATCCCCCATCCCCAAGAAGTCCAGTCAACACCAGACGAGATCATGCCTGGAGTTAAAATGTGCAGTGTTTCCAAGGGGCAGAGAAAACATCACATAGAAAGTATTACAAAGAAGGATTAAATCTGTCAGCTGTCCAAACACTATTAAGACCACATGCTTTATACAGCGGCATTGCAGTCAAGCCCGTCTCAGCAGGCGGAACTGGGGCAGGCCTCTTCCAGTTGGGCGCAGGGATTAGGAGGAGGCGGCTGAGGAAGGGAGGAAGTGCTAGGAGGTCTGCTGCTTCTGAAGTCTCCGTTCAGCAGCAGCAGCCAGCATCCTCCGGCGCAGGGTCACCGGGTCAGAAGACAAGCCTTCCGAAGCGGGGAGGCTCTCTGAGGCCGTGTCATCTTCAGAACTTTTGTTCAAGAATCGCCTACAGAAAAACAAAAGAGTCACGTGAGAGAGGTGGGAAACTTGGAAACACTGCTGCATTTTAAGTTGCCCCTTTTTCCAGGCACCTTCAAGAAGCTGTCACTCGGGACTGTCCCATCAAAAAATGCCCATCCTGAAGGCCTGGGATGTAGCCCCCTGGTAGAGAGCTTGTCCAGCATGTGGGAGGCCCTGGCTTCATTCCAGCACCCCAAAAGGAAAAAGAGAGAGAGAGGTCATCTACCTTTGAACCGATGAGCCCAAGTGCCCTAGGAGAGGACCATCTTGTGGCTGTACAGCTTCCTCCCCTCTGCCTATTCCTTTCCCACAGACACAGGTCTGTGCAGAGCACAAAACCCATCTGGACAAACACAATAAAGGCCCTGCCCTCAAGAACTGAAATAAGCTCCTGTCGACTCATAGGACCTGCATGCTCAAACTACCACCCAGCATGGGAAATGTGTGGCACTCAAGTATAGACAGTCTGTGCTCACAGGGCCGACCTGAAAGGTAGAGTGGTCAAGAAGGAGGTCTTGGAAGCCTAGGCCTCAGTTTCTAGAATTACAATAATTCAAGTAAAGAGCTCAGAAAACGTTGGCACGTAAGTGCCATCTGTGCAAGTGTGGTAGCAGCTGTCAACAGGAGGCAAGCCCTAACACCAGCCACCAAAGTTACCAGCTATGCTTAGCATGGCCAGATCTTCTGTTATTTCAAGATAGGCTTGAAATCTGAGTTTTTAGGTAACATGTAATGCTTTTTTAGTATCATCTGTTTAAAATAGATGTGGGCCCAATGTAACAGCAGCCATCAGCTACTGGTTTCTGACCTGGAAATTATGACAATCAAGACTAGAGAAACAACTTACTTCCGTGCTTGCTGTAGCAGGTCATCTTTACGTTGGACTAACATTCTCTGTCTCTCATCAGCAGACTTGGAGAAGCGGCTCCCTCGGGCCTCAAAGTCTTCCACCTCATTGGACTCCACTTCCATCTCACTGAAGTCCGAGGTCTCTTCCAGGCGAGGGCTGAGGTCCAGTGGCACAGGCTCAGTCTGGGTAGAGGAAGACAGCTTGTGAACACAGGCCTCCCTCCTACACAGATTCCTCCCCTAGCCAGAGCTCCCCTACACAGGCCCCTTCTGGACACACAATGAGACCTGCTGCCATACTAGGAAAACAGAGGTACAATGGAGACCTGGATTCCATGAGGGCAGGCCTGTTGCATGTGGCTTACATGGCTGCTAACTTGTCATGCTATTTATTACTGAAGTAAGTAAATGACTACCAGTACAAAAACTGTAAGCACTTCCAAACTGTACTCTTGGAATAAGCCAACCAAGGAACTGCTGGCTTGCATTCTGGGAATTTCCTCTTCAACTCTAATTGCTCACAAATTTAAACAAGTCTTATCACACCTATTGCACAAATTTTATACTCTTACTTTGGAAACAGAGTCAAATAAGTAACAAGGGTGCTAAGGATCTTTTTTAAAAAGATATAATAGAATAATGTGGTTCCTTGTGTAACAGGATGCTAAAATGGGATACTTTCTTGGTTTTGGCTGAAGCTCCAAAGACCTCAATAATGCCCAGGTACCCAAACATCCTTAAACAGGTGCCCAGCCACTTACGCTGCTTGTGCTTCTACAGACCCACAAGGGCCAGTACAAGCCCACTTCCAGGCTATAATGGAGCTGAGAGGCTGTTTTATTTAAGAGTTCCTGGTGTCGGTGATTTTCTGTCACCAGCCTCACCGTCTCTTCCTGCCTTTAGCCAAATCCAAGAAGGAACATTAAGAAAGCCATGTGGAGACCCTGATTCATACCTCTTGGAGCTTGGGGAACTTAATACTGGTGACTATACACACCTGCAATCTAGAAGAAACTGGACAGAGCAGACCAAAAGAACAGTAGGAGCTGTGATGGTAGCAGCTCTAAACCTGTAGGCAACATTTGTGTCCTGGGGTTTTGTGAGGATCCAGCAGGAGGGAACTACCCTAAGATGTTGAAAACACACTGCCCAAAGGACCACTTGGAGGGTGGTGTGACTCCCATGAAGGTAGGGCTGGTCATAAAGGGCCAACCCAAGTCTTGGTAGTTTTTACAGTTTCCTGTTTACAAGGAAAACCACAGAGATGCAAGCAGTCTCCCCACTACTTATCAGTAAAAGTTACTGCTTCCAGAAAATCCCAGCCTACCCCAGGAAGAAGACAACACTGCTCCCTTCTGCTGGAGTCCCACATGCAGGAAGCCCACATTCCACACACAGAAGCACAAGGGCAGAGCTGTGTGCCTTTTACATTTGGTATCCTAAGAAAGCATGGTAGGAGTCTGGTAATCAGCAAAGCAAATGGGCACTGCAGTGGAAGGCCAGGAGCTGGAGCCCAAGTGTGGGGATAGGAGCAGGGGAGGCTGCCACTGAACACAAGGCAGAACAGATGCTTTTCCAGAGCTCTGGCTCCCCCAAAGAGTCTCACTTCCTCACCCTACCTGGCTCAGAAGGGTAACTCAGTGACTTCAGATCCCTAGGGAACACCTAGTCTGCCCCCATGCAAGTTTGGAGGGTTTAGCTTCCTCAGTGCCCAGGGGAAGCTTCCTTCTGCCCTTACTTGTCCTTTCCTTCAAGTTCACATAGCAGGGCTACCCCAGGGAGTAGGCTTCAGGCACTGGGTGGAAGCACCAGTTACACCAAAGGCATAGCTTGATTTGGAACCTTTAATATCAAGGCAGATAGAGCACATGGCAGTCTTTCCTACTCTTGCCCCAACTCTAACGAACATCAGAACCAAAAATGACCCCTGCCAAGGACCTCACGACCCTTCCATAATCCATGTACCCATCTTACCTGAGGAGAGACTGCTCCCTCTTCCTGGTCAGCACTGGACCTTTCCAATGGGCTGTTCAGTGAAGGCCTAATGCTATCTGATCGCTGAAAGAGAAATAGCAAGGTCATTCAGAATGAAGTAACAGGCACAGGGAAAATTGGGGGTACAGAGGGGGCTATGGCCCCACCATAGTTTGCAACTTTAACAAAGACCAGCACCAAAGAAATTAAAATGCTGTAAAGATTAAAGGCAACAGACAAAGGAGCCTGAAGCCCAAGTTAGAGCTCCAAGTTTGAGGCTTGGCAATTGCCTTCACATTCAGTCTCCCTTTCAGTGATAGTAACTGCACAACAAAAACAATAATGGCAACAACAGGCAACATGAAGTAAACACTAACTTTGTCCCTGACAGACTGTCCCAGTAGCCCTTCCAACATGCTGTGAAGTAGGACCTGTTGTGTTCTCACTTCAGCCAGAGGAAGATCCTGTCCAGTGCCGCAGATGTTCTGGGGTTTTGTCCATATCCCCTTAGGTCTCAGCACTTCCACAGTTTCTGTGTTTCACTACATGAGGACTTTCTCTGGCTGTATGAGGTAACTGTCAACTCCAGAGGCGCCAACAGTCAGGTCAAAGAACTGAGACCTGGAGAACCACAGCTAATATCTCAGCCCACCTGACTCCAAAGGCCACACTCAGACTCTTCAAGGAGGTTCTTAGTAGATTTCGGAATATTTTTCCATACTAGAATTGAAAAGCTTTTGATATACTATTCCACAGTCATATATAAATACCTTGGTCTTACCAGAAAGCTTGTCTATGTTAAACACCTCTTGTACCCATTAAAGAAGTCATGTAATGAGTCAGAAGGTTTGATCTTTTTTAAAAAATTCAAAGTCCAGAGAGATATGGACTACACCTAATGGATACTATACAACATGCAAAAGACACTAGGAACAGATGGCATTATCTCCTAGTACAGGGGGTCTACAAACAATAGCCCTTGGCAACGTTCACTCCTCTACCTGCACCACAGTTTTCCTCATTCATCCCCAGATTGTCCATGGTTGCCTTGGTTGCCACAGACTGTATTTTAGGCCCTATGAAGTCTAAAATATTCATTATCTGCCCATTACAGAAAAAAGTTGTCAATCCTTGTCTGACAGGAGGCCATCAGCTCCCAGACTTGCAGGGGCAGGCTGGTTTGGGGTGTGTATCTGTATAAAAATTACCCAAATAAATCCGACCTTATCTTTGGTAGGTCTGGTGTCATTATTTGGGCAAAGTGAAGGAGTTTACTAAAACCCTTTATTATATCATAAATGATATTCAGTTAATAAATAACCAAAAAGTGACTCTACAGGATTCAATCTTTATGAAAACAGAATTAATCTGTCATGCTTAAAATCCCAGTTTTACCTGAGTGGGAAAAGGTACTTGAATCCGTCCTTCTAAGATGTTGTCTGTTGTTATTTCAACTGAGCGTGTCAGCTGGAGGTCCTGCAGCACGAGGTGGTATGGAACCTGGGGGAACATCTCCTGAATCTGATGAGCCTGCAGAGACACACACAGGTCCTCAGCAAGGGCCATTCCTGACAGTTACTCACAAGGTCAGAGCTTAGGGCAGGCTTAGGCACTGAATCTATTTGATGTCATGCCTTGGTACACAGGTAAGAGACCACCTCTATTCTACAACTCACTTTTATGCTGCAGTATCTTTAATATTTTTCCAGGGTACCTAATAGACAGCTGAGAACAACATCAATTTCAAAATAAAGAACAGATAGAAATTCAATAGGATCCCTAGCCAGCCTCAAATAGAATCTTCTGGTTTTAAAGTGTTCATGTTGAAGCTCAGTATTCTGACAGACACAATGTGAATGAAGCTGAAATGCCTTATATTAAGTGAAAGACACCTACCTCAAAGCCAAATTGTGTGATTTAATTTCTATGACATCTGGGAATAGGCAAACTCATAGGGCAAGAATGCTAAGTATATGAGGCTGGGAGAACACTTGCCTCGTAAGCAAGCAAGAGGCCCTGGGTTCCATCCCCAGCTCCAAAAAGCAGTAACAAATCAAAATCTTAGTGTAAGTACCAAAGGCTGGGGATGGTGACGAAGTGACTGCAATGGGGCACAATGGAATCTGGAGGGAGGAGGAATGGGATCTATTCTGGTTTTTTATATTTTTGGTGCTTTGGCAGTACTGAGGACTGCCTAAGTCAGGGTTTGGTCCCCAGTACTTAAACCACACCTCTACATCTCCAGTCCGTTTTTTTTTGGGTGGGACTGGGGTTTGAACTCAAGGCTTCACACACATGCCAAGCAGACACTCTACCTCTTGAGCCACACTTCTTTTTTTTTGTTGTTGTTTTTTTTTTGTTTTTTTTTTATTATTCATATGTGCATACAAGGCTTGGTTTATTTCTCCCCCCTGCCCCCACCCCCTCCCTTACCACCCACTCCACCCCCTCCCGCTCCCTCCCTCAATACCCAGCAGAAACTATTTTGCCCTTATCTCTAATTTTGTTGTAGAGAGAGTATAAGCAATAATAGGAAGGAACAAGGGGTTTTGCTGGTTGAGATAAGGATAGCTATACAGGGCATTGACTCACATTGATTTCCTGTGCGTGGGTGTTACCTTCTAGGTTAATTCTTTTTGATCTAACCTTTTCTCTAGTTCCTGGTCCCCTTTTCCTATTGGCCTCAGTTGCTTTTAAGGTATCTGCTTTAGTTTCTCTGCATTGAGGGCAACAAATGCTAGCTAGTTTTTTAGGTGTCTTACCTATCCTCACCCCTCCCTTGTGTGCTCTCACTTTTATCATGTGCTCATAGTCCAATCCCCTTGTTGTGTTTGCCCTTGATCTAATGTCCACATATGAGGGAGAACATACGATTTTTGGTCTGTTGAGCCAGGCTAACCTCACTCAGAATGATGTTCTCCAATTCCATCCATTTACCAGCGAATCATAACATTTCGTTCTTCTTCATGGCTGCATAAAATTCCATTGTGTATAGATACCACATTTTCTTAATCCATTCGTCAGTGCTGGGGCATCTTGGCTGTTTCCATAACTTGGCTATTGTGAATAGTGCCGCAATAAACATGGATGTGCAGGTGCCTCTGGAGTAACAGTCTTTTGGGTATATCCCCAAGAGTGGTATTGCTGGATCAAATGGTAGATCGATGTCCAGCTTTTTAAGTATCCTCCAAATTGAGCCACACTTCTAATCCATTTTGCTGTGATTATTTTGGAGATGGAGTTTCAAGAACTATTTTCCCAATCTGGCCTGACCCTCCCAATCTCAGACTCCCAAATAGCTAGGATTATAGGCATGAATCACCAGCACCCAGCCCTCTTCTGTACTTTGATTTTGGTGACCATTGCACAACTATATGAGTTGGACTAGATACTAAACAAATTTTTACTTTACATGAATTGTGTCACAATTTAGAAAAATACACTTACAAAAAAATACAAGTTTAATATGTCTCTGAAGCCATACTTCTCAAACTGTTCCCTAGGACTATCTCAGAGTCTACTTCAGAGTCTAGAATAGGAATGTATGTATAGGGAGGCAGACAAAATTTAGGCACACCAATGCCCATATTCCAGCCAAGCAGCCCCAGAATTTATTTACTTATTTTTATTATTGTTGAATTGAGGGTACATTGTGACATTTATAAAAGTTCTTACAATATATCATAGCTGAATTCACCCCCTCCCATCATTTTCCTTTATCCCCACCTCCACAGAATTTTTTTTGTTCTTTGTTTTTCACATGCATTCAAATATTTTACTAAAGGTTTTATTTGTGGAAAAGTCTCCATGATTAAAAAAGAAAAATAAGGGAAATGATCATTGATTTGGGGAGTATAATAAAGCCTATATCAAGATATGACCTCCAAAGGAACATACTGTCATAAACTGCAGAAAGAGGGGGCTATGTCAACACCAGGGCAATGTAAGAAACACCCAAACATCTTTCCTTAATGTTATCTGGGGGCACTGGCAGCACAAACGAGTACCCAGATGGCCCCAGGGTCTCCCTGCCTCTATGGTCTTCCTATCATTTTTTATGATACAAATGGATCATTTTTTCAAATCAAAGCTAACTGGGGAAGAGTTCATAAGAATCTTACAATCAGATGAAACTTCTATTCTCAAATAGCTTCTCCCTCATTTACCAAATTAAAAAAAATACCTAGGACTCATTGTGCTAGACAAAGCTTTCCCACAAAAATCCAGTAAGTTAAATGCTGTATCTTAATTTTTTTTAATGCATGGTTCCAGTCAAATAGTTGTGTTAAAAATAGTCTATTCCAGACCATTAAAGAACTGGAGGAAGAACAGCTAGGACCTGCCTAAGAATTCTAATCACAGCAACTCTGAGAAGGCAATTCACATTCCAGGTTTCTGTGGAACCTGACTGTTGTAAGGAAGCAGGTAAGGAGCTGCTGGAGTGGCTCAAGTGATAGCACGCCTACCTAGCAAGTGTGAGGCCCTGAGTCCAAATCCCAGTACTGCCACAAAAGAAAAAGAAGGCAGGTGAGGTGAGCCCCCATAGAGTTCCACCCGTCTGCCAGCCACCAGAGTCTGCCTTAAGCCCCGCAGTGGCCACAATGGGCTGTGCAGAGCCACTGAACTCCACAGTACCTCTGCTCACCATGGTGCCTCTCTCACTTTAGGGGAAGATCAGCTGGCTGAGGATTACACACACCAGCAGGAGCCACACCTCCTTCTTTTTGTTTATTGTGGTCAAAAACCATTCACCACCTTAAGTGTAAATATAGGCATGTAAATTGTGAACTGTTGTGCAAGGGATCTAGAGAGCTTTATCATCTCGCAATCTAGGCATGTAAATTGTGAACTGTTGTGCAAGGGATCTAGAGAGCTTTATCATCTCGCAAAAGTAAAACTTGGTACCCACTTCCCCCTCACCCTAGCTTGGCAACCCCATTCCACTGATGACCCTAGATATCTCCAATAAGTACAATCACATAGTATTTGTGTTTTTGTACCTGGCTTATTTCACTTAGCATAATATCCTCAAGGTTCCTCTATGTTGTAGCATGTGCCAGAATTTCCTTCTTTTTTAGGGCTGAGCAATATTCCATTGTGTATGTGTGCCACATTTTCTTTATCTGTTCTCTTTGGTAGACATTTAAGTTGTTTCCACCTCTTGCCTACTGTGCATCACTCAATTTTTTAAAAACTAAATCTCAAATGACCTGCCTAAGGCTACATCCATCCTTCTTCCTATCATTAAATCCCTCTCCCCTGCTCTGCTCTCATCCTACCATCCATCCCACAAACTTTTTTTTTTTTTTTGGTGGTAATGGGTTTTGAACTCAGGGCCTCACTCTTGCTAGGCATGAGGCGTTGTATTGCTTGAGCCACTTCACCAGCTCTCATGAACTTTTCTCTTTTTGTTAGCTGTTCTGTAGGTTCTGCCCAATCACCTCTGCCCTTCTAGAGTTTATTCCTATTCACATACCAAAAAAAAAAAAAAAAAAAAAAAAAGCCACCCATCAATAGGCCTGGTGGAACTTGCCTGCAACCCCTGCACTTGGGAGGCTGAGGCAGGAGGGTCACAAGTTTGCAGCCAGCCTGGGCTACATCACAATACCCCGTCTCAAAAAACTAAGATCTGGTTATATAGCTCGGTGGTAGAACACCTGCCTAGCACGGGCAAGGCCCTGAGTTTAGTCCCCAGAACTGCAAAAGAAAGAAAAGAAAAGAAGACCAGTAGAGGAAAATCAGAACTCTAACTGACAAAGTGCTATAGGCTCATCATGACAAACCCGAAAGTTAGAAACTTCTGCCCCCATACAATACCTGAGATTGACCTCAAAGAGCTCTACCAGGGCCCTGAAGGAAACAGCTGTTTCCAACATGGGGGGCAGGAGTGAAGAACCACTGTGAAACTCACTAGAGCATTCTCTTCCCACAAGATACACTCTCAGGAAAAACTAGTTAACCACAGCCCAACCCTCTGGCATTTAGCAGAGCACAGCTGACCTGGGAGAAGAAAAACATCCAACTCTAGCTTCCTCTTGCCTTCCCTGAGGGAGAGGGAAAACACCTACTTCCAGCCCTCTCTAGCCACTGTCCCTCCTAAGGAAGGAGGAGGCTGAGAAGCACTTGAGATATCCATAGTCCAGGAGTACAGGCTTACCAAGACTAGAACCTGACCACAGGCCTACAGAACACGTCCTACCTTACTAAAGGCCTATTTACTATGGTCCCTTTTACATAGTACATCATGTCTAACTATTCAGAAAAAATATTAGACATACTACCCTTTTTTTTTTTTTTTTTTAGTGCTAGGGATTGACCCCAAGGCCTTATGCATGCTAGGCAAATGCTTTTACCACTGAGATACACCCCAACCCCAATATCAGGCATACTAAAAGACAAAAAAATACAATATAAAGAGACAGAACAAGACACAGCAGGGATGCTAAAATTACCAAACTGGGAATTTAACTGGTTAATTAAATTCCATGCTACTTTATCCATTAGAGCCTTTAGTATATATGCTAAGTAGACAACATGAAAGAACAGATGGGCAATATAAACAAAAAGATGGAAATCCTGAGAGAGAGCCAAAAAGAAAAGCTGAAGATTGAATCCACGGTAAGAGAAATGAAGAATCCCTGTGTAGGCTGGACACAGCTGAAGGAAGAATCTCTAGGTTGAGGATATATTGACAGAAACTGAAAACCAAAAACCAGATAATGGAGACTGAGCATAATAGAGGACTGAGGGGCAACTACAAGGGTTTATAAACATGCAGAATGGCAACATCAGAAGATAAAGGGAAAAGGAGAAGGAAAAGTATTTGAAAGAGTAATGACTGAGAACTTCCTCCAAATTAATGTCAGACAAAAAAACCCACAGATCCAGAAAGCTCAGAGAACACCAAGCAGGAAAAAATACTCTAAATCCAATACTTAGGCATGGCATTTGCATACCACAGAAAATAGAAGATAAAGAAAACTTTAAAAAATATATATATAGCTTACTTAGAGAAGAAGAAAGGTAAGAACTGCAATCCAACTTCTTCTCAGAAACCACACAAGAAAAAGAATGAAGTGAAATAGTTAAGGTTTCACTGAAAGAAATAACAAAGAAAAAACCCCCACAACAACCTATAATTCTGTACCTTTCGAAATTATTATTTAAAAGTGAAGGAGAAACAGAACTTTCTCACACAAAATTTAGAGACGTATTGCTAGTAGATTTACCTTGCAAGGAATGTTAAAAGTTCTTAACTCATATGGGTCAGAAACTCAGCCTACATTAAGAAAGTAAAGGCATCCCTTAACGCAGAGAAACTAAAGCAGATACCTTAAAGCAACTGAGGCCAATAGGAAAAGGGGAACAGGTACTAGAGAAAAGGTTAGATCAAAAGAATTAACCTAGAAGGTAACACCCACGCACAGGAAATCAATGTGAGTCAATGCCCTGTATAGCTATCCTTATCTCAACCAGCAGAAACCCTTGTTCCTTCCTATTATTGCTTATACTCTCTCTACAACAAAATTAGAAATAAGGGGAAAATAGTTTCTGCTGCGTATTGGGGGGGGGAGAGGGAGGGGGCGGAGTGGGTGGTAAGGGAGGGGGTGGGGGCAGGGGGGGAGAAATGAACCAAGCCTTGTATGCACATATGAATAATAAAAGAAAAATGAAAAAAAAAGAAAGTAAAGGCATCAAAGAAGAAATAGTAGGGTTTAGAGTGTGGCTCAAGTGGTAAAGCACCTGCTTAGCCAGTGTGAGCCCTGAGTTCAAACCTCTGTACTGACAAAAAAAAAAAAGAAGAAATAATTAAAGGTAAAATAAAAACTTTAATTTTTCTTATTCTTAGTTGATCTGATAACAATTTGTTCAAAATAATAGCAAAAAAGAAAAACATAAAAAAGAAGAAAAAAGCACAAATTAAAAAAAGATAACAGCTACAATGTATTCAGCTATATATGCTTACGCATCAATACATATGCTCATATACAGGTTAAAATTAATAATAGTAGTGGTGAGAAGGAAGGGAGGAATTAGGATTGCTCATTATCATAACTACTCACACTACCTGTGAAGTGTACAATATTATTTGAAAATGGACTTGGATTATCTTTAAATGTGCACTATAAACTCTATGGCAATCACTAAAAAAAAGAATAACTGATAAGAGAAAGGATATTTTCTCTCCAAGAAAGAAGAGAAAACGAAATCATGTTCACTAGTCAGGCACAGTGGCTCATGCCTGTAATCCCAATCCCTTAGGAGGACGAGATCAGGAGTTCAAGGCCAACCCAGGCAAAAAGTTAGCAAGACCCCCCCATCTCAATCAATAAACTGAGGATGTGCAGGTATGTATGGAAGTCTTGGTGGTCTGAGGCCAGCTCCCAGCAAAAAGCAAGACTCTACCTGAAAAATAACTAAGCAAAACAGGGCTGCAGCCACTGGTAGAGAGCCTGCCTTGCAAGCACAGGGTCCTGAGTTCAATCCTGGTAATGGCAAAAAAAAAAAAAAAATCACAACTGATTAATGAACAAATGAACTGATGACCTTCTGAAGTATTGGCGGGGATTATCCAAGTCAATTGGAAGCCTTAATCCAAGCAGGACTAAGGTGGTTTGCATTTTAATAATCCCACATGTGTTATAACAAAGAAAACTAGATTTCTCCATCATTGCAAAATAAAAATACATGACTTTGGAAAAACACAAAGAAATATGAAGCAGTTGAATAATCTCCTTGAGCCAACATCATGTCTCAATATCTCAAGGCATGTGCGCACAAATTTATTTTAGGGTACAGGGACAAAAAACACGTATGGTACACCTTATACAACTGTTAATAAAATGCATATTGTTCACTCTTGTTAATAAGTCCCCCAAAATATCTTGGCTAAAGTCAAGTAGTGTCTTAATGTAGGCATAGATCACAATCAAGTGAACCTAGTAGTGTTCATTAAAGATTAGATTATCTGCCACAGAAATAAAATGAAAGCCAAGTTCCAAACTAGTTTCAAATTTTGAAACATAAGGGTTTGTGGGTGTAGTCAGTGATAGACACATGCTTTGCATGCATAAGGCCTGGATTCAATCCTCTACACCATATAGACACACAAAAAAATTAAATATGAATAAATATAAACTTAAGGCATCCTAAAGAATAACGGTAAATAAAGTCCCTGAGAATCTTGCTATCCCACCAGAGCAGAGTAAGACCAACAAGGTCATATATAGTGCATGCATGTTTCAGAACTTTTCTTCTTTTTTTTTTTTTTTAATATTCTCTTCTTAAAGAAGTTAACAGTCCTTACCATTGCATTAAGCTGGGAGTTGCTTGCCTGTGTAATGCCAAGAATGTTGGTAGTGTGCATCACTTCAACTGAAAAACTTGGCAGCCAGCTCGCAATCCGGGACCCTGAAACAAACCACAGTTCAGCCCAAGTGTTAGAGCCCTGGATCCCTGCCCCCTCTTGTCAACTACTCTAGTAGGCCATACAGCAACAGCTGATATTCAATAAAAGGCTTACTTTATGTCAGGCCTTTTGTGCTAAGTGTTTCACACAGAATAGTTCATTTAGTTCTCACTAAAATCCACATGGACCTCTCATTCTTCTCATTTTATCCTTCCCAAAGATCTGAACCTAGTCCCAGTCTCAGTCCTTGGTCCCCAAAGCACTTAGAAGTTAGGCAATGCATGCAAGATCACACAGTTTAATAATGATGGCTCGGATGTGAAGCCAGGCAGACACCACTAGCCTTTCCTGCTTTCCTGCATCATTTTCACAATTACTTTCATGAAGTATTTCTTCCTTAATAATCTGATTTAAAAATGTGACATTGGTTTTCTGATTCAAAATTCTTCTCAAAGAGTTCTACAACACAGGCTCATGTACTGATGGCACCTTGAAGGCTGCTGTTTCTGTTATTCCCTAAGGAAAGGAATCCGAGATTTTGAGCCATCATATATTGTCTATAAAACAATTTAATATCAAGCCATATACTCAAGGGTGCTGTTTCATTCCTTTACAAAGAAGCACTGAGGCTGGAATATAAAAGGTCTTGTTAAATAAAATGTATTTTAGGGACAAATAAAGGTGACTTTATATGACTAAAATTTTTTTTTTTTTAACGGTACTAGGGTTTGAACTCAGGGCCTTCACCTTGAGCCACTCCACGAGCCCTTTCTTTTGTGAAGGGTTTTTCAAGATAGGGTCTCATGAACTATTTCCCTGGGCTGGCTCTGAACCATGATCCTCCTGATTTTGCCTCCTGAGTAGCGAGGATTGTAAGCATTAGCCACCGGTGCCTGGCTTATATGACTAAATTTTTAATAATAAAAATTCATAGAATAATGGCTTACATAGCCAAAATCCATCCCCAAGATCTAATTCAAGTCTATTTCAGAAGTTTCACATAGTAAAGACCCTGCTAACAGCCACCAAACCAGTCCCTCCAGCACCCAGCTCTGCTGGCCAAACAGCCCTGTCTAATCTACTCCTCTCAGTCTCCTCTCTGCTCCCCTTGGGCCTCTCAGGATTCACCAACATGCTACCGCTCCCACATACTCCAATTCGTATCAGAGATCTGAACAGCACCCCTTCTAACAAAATTCCAGGCACACCTGTTTGACAGTCAATTAGAAATAGGAATTCACAGGATACAGTGGTACTGGGACTGATGGAACTCAACAACAGCTTGATGTATGTTGAGTCAAGGAAAGATGATAAATCAGCCTGAAACAGTTCCCAGTCTTTAGCAGTTTAAGTATGGTTTGTTTACAAGTCTTCAAAACTGCTGGTGCTCAACTAAAGCAGATACCTTAAAAGCAACTAAGGCCAATAGGAGAAGGGGACCAGGAACTAGAGAAAAGGTTAGATCAAAAAGAATTAACCTAGAAGGTAACACCCATGCACAGGAAATCAATGTGAGTCAATGCCCTATATAGCTATCCTTATCTCAACCAGCAAAAACCCTTGTTCCTTCCTATTATTGCTTATACTCTCTCTACAACAAAATTAGAAATAAGGGCAAAATAGTTTCTGCTGGGTATTGAGGGGGGGGAGAGGGAGGGGGCAGAGTGGGTGGTAAGGGAGGGGGTGGGGGCAGGGGGGAGAAATGACCCAAGCATTGTATGCACATATGAATAATAAAACAATAAAAATTAAAAACAAAACAAAACAAAAAACTGCTGGTGCTCTAGACTGGTGCAGTCTCTGATCAGATTTCCAAATTCTCTGCATCCCCCTTGGACGCATCCAGGAAGGCCATGTGGCTGTAGTAAGGGAGGTAATGGTGTTTATTAAAGATTAAGCAGGGGAGTTACAAAAGACCACGGTGGGCCAGGTGGGAGCCGGAAGCAAAGAAAGAGGCTTTCTCTTTCCAGGGGCTTTTAAAACCTAAGCTAACCTATGGGAAGGTGATTCCCAATCACCAATAATCACTGAGTAGGTAGGGACATGGGTGGTTCCTGGGCTGAGGTGGGGTTGGTTTGAGCGGTCCCCTTGTCAGGGTGTGAATAACCTATACACATTTGCAATTGAAAAGAAGGCCTACAAAAAGAAGAATGTTTAACCTGAAATAAATATTAAATCATATGTTGTTGTAAGAGTCCCGAACTTTCCCTAGGTCTAGTCTGCCTCACTGGGAGACAGAATATTCACATTTTATGGACAAAGCATCAGGGTTCCAGCTCCAGTTCTGCCTCTGATATTCCTTTGAAAGGCTACCCAGTGACTTTTCACAACAGGCTTAAATTCTCCACTGTGTAATCAGTTCTTAACCTTAGCAAAGGTTAACTAGCAAGCTAAGTGTGCTTCTCAAGACATGGTTGATTCAGTTTCCCTACCTCTACCTCCCCACCCAACACCCAACTCCTATTGGCACAGAATCTAGCAAAATGCCTAGTGCGAAATAACCTCTCAGCTTTACCTATCCATCCATCCATCCTGAACACTTTCAATTAAAACTGAAATGTAAGTCAGGAGTGGTGGTGCAAATCAGTAATCCTAGCACTCAGGAGAATGAGGCAGGAGCTGTAAGTTCAAGACCAGCCTGGATTACATATGGTGAGACCCTGTCTCAAAAACTATAAATTAATTAATTAAATTGAAATATATTAAACTTGTCTGTATAGGACAATGTATAATCCAAACAGCCTCACCTGAGGGGAGAAAACTGTGGAAAAGTGTAATTTTGTAGGTTGAAAACAACTCACCATCAAAGTGGAAGAAGTGATTATGCTGGTTTAAGCGAGGTCTGCCTTCAGCAGCTGCTACAGGAACTAAATTCTCATCCAAATTCTCTCCTTGATGGTCTTCCCTGGCACGATTATTATCGGCAATATTAAGAGACATTCTGCATGTTGGACAGGAGGTATCTTGTTCTAGCCAGGAACGAAGGCAGGAGCTACCAAAAGGTCCAAAGAAAGATATGCAAATATGCTTACTTGTTTCTTAGCTTAGTTTGGGAGAATTCACCAGAAGTACTCTGAGTGTATCACAGGTGTTCCAATTGTATTTCTATTTACCACTAGGGAGATTTAAACGTTGAGAAACATTTGGAGACATGACCTCTCTGCCCTACTTTACTCTAGCATGCTTCTAGCACATCCTGCCATGAACATTGACTCTTTACCATACACAGTCATCTAACAAGCTCCTGGTCATGACCCCACCTCACTAAGACTTCATCACATTGCTAGTCACCTTCCTTTCCAACACTATTTGGTTATTTCATAATCCATATCATCCATCATCCTGGTCTCTTCCATCCTTGAGTCCTTTACTCCAGTGATCTTTGCTTTGGCTACTCATCAATGTGGTCATAACCTTGGGCTTTGTCTTCAAAATCATGACTTCAGAGATCTTACTAACACCACCCTACTTTGCACTCACTTCTCTGGGATCTGATGTGCTAAGATCACCCACCCACTTTTCATCAAGCCTTTTGGGTCCTTACTTTTCTCCTCACTTGTTCATTTCTAACTACTTCTGTACATTCACCAACTCCACCCTCTTCTCTTTGCATTCTGCTTTCCAAGAAACTTGAAAGCTTCTTCTGTCCTCTCTCAAGAGGTGATAATGGCCTAATGATAGTAAATACTCAATAAGCACTTGCAGTACCCATTAAAGTGAAAGATACTAAAATATGAAGTAGGAAACACAAATCTGGCCCCAGCTCAGCCAACACTAGTGCTATGATCCTAGAAAATATTTCACCCTCTCTGGACTAGTCCTCTCCAGTGAAAAATATGAAGGTTGAATAAAGTGATCTCTAAGGTCCCTTCCCCTTTCATGAGAATTCATTATCTTTTTCTAAGAGCTCAATGAGGCACTGAATAAAAATGATCTGTATGTCGCATTCTTAAAAATATCTGTGACTAGTCAGGTGCCAGTGGCTCACCCTATAAACCTAGCTGCTCAGGAGGCAACGATCAGGAGAACTGAGGTTCCAAGCCAGCCTGGGCAAATAGTTCCTGAGACCCTATCTTGAAAAAACCCATCACAAAGAAAGGGCTGGTGGAGTGGCTCAAGGTGTAGGCCCGAGTTCAAGCCCCAGCACCACAAAAAAAAAAAAAAATCAGTGTCTATGTGCACAAAATTACAAAGGAGAACCTCACCATAATATGATGACTCTCAGAGAAAAAAGTATTTCTGTTTATAACTGTAATAATATTCTACTGAAAAGGTTTTTCTCCTCTTTCTATGTATGACACTTGAATGTAATGAAATACTGCCTGAACTATGAAATCTTGCAAATATACCTCTTGTAGCAACAAATGATGTAGTTATTATCTGCTGGAAACTAAGCATTTGGCTTTATCACAAATCTACGTGAATTTGCCTTATCATCATGCCATCCTATTTCCACTCTTCAAAGGGAAGCAAACAAAGAGGATGTCCAAACAATGACTTACCACACTCCACAGAAGGTAGGAAAGTGTCTTAAATTTAAACCTTAATTTTAAGTAACCATTGGATCAAAGAAGAAATCACTCAGAAAATAAGAAAATTCTTTTGAGACAAATAAAAACAAAAACAGAACATACCAAAAAAAAAAAAAAAAAAAAAAAAGAATTAACCTAGAAGGTAACACCCACGCACAGGAAATCAATGTGAGTCAATGTCCTGTATAACTATCCTTATCTCAACCAGCAAAAACCCTTGTTCCTTCCTATTATAGCTTATACTCTCTCTACAACAAAATTAGAAATAAGGGCAAAATAGTTTCTGCCGGGTATTGGGGGTGGGGGGGAGGGGGCGGAGTGGGTGGTAAGGGAGGGGGTGGGGGCAGGGGGGAGAAATGAACCAAGCCTTGTATGCACATATGAATAACAGAAGAAAAATGGAAAAAAATAAATAAACAAATAAATAAATAAATAAATAAAAAAAGATAGAGAAAGCAATACTCAAAGGCAAATTCATACCTAAAAATGCTTAAAAAGAAGAAAGTTCTCAAATCAACAACCTAACTTCATACCTATGGAACCAGAAAAAGAGCAAAATAAACCTAAAGTGAACAGAGGTACCTACAGTGGTCAACTTGGGAGAGACAGAAAACAGAACCAGGACTGACAAGAGCTGGGGGAGAGCAGAATAAGATCTTATTGTCTGGTGGGTACATAGTTTCAGTTTGGAAAGATAAGAAGGTTCTCCAGATAGATGGTGGTAAGGGTCTGTCCAGCAAAGTGAATGTACTTAATACCACTGAACTTAAAAATGGTTGAAATGTTACATTTATCTTATGGATATTTTACCACAAAAATTACACTTAAAAATGACAAAAAAAACCATCACAATAAGATATCACTTCACAACCATTGGAATTTCTATAATAAGAAAAATAACAAGTATTGGTGAGAATATGAAAAAACTGGAACCCTATACATTGCTGGCAAAAACATGTATTGGTGTAGCTGCTGTAGAAAACAGTGTTGGCTCTTCAAGAAGTTAAACATAGGAGCTGAAGTTATAACTCAGAGAGAGTGCTTGCCTGACCAGTATGAGTCCCTAGGCTCCATCCCCAGCACCAAGAAAAGGAAAAAAAAATTAAACATAGAATTATAGTATGATCCAGGAATTCTACTCCCAGGTATATACAGAAGACAATTAAAAATAGATACTCAAACAGACACTTGTTCCCAAATGTTCATAGCAGTATTGCTTCTGAATGCCCAAAAGGTGGAGAGAAACCAAATATCCATCAATGGAAATTGTTTAGTTATTATAAAATTATTTAAACTTAGAAATAAAAAAGAATGAAGCATGGCTATATGCTACAACTTGGATGACCTCAAAAACATTATGCTAAGTGAAAAAAGTCAGTTACAAAAGGTTACATATTACATGATTCCTTTTGTATGAAATGTCCAGAGTAGACAAATCTATAGAAAAAGAAAGCAGATTAGTGATTGCCAGGAGCAGGGGGAAGAACAGAAGTGATTACTCAGTGAGTATGGGTGTTATTCTGGGATGAAGAAAAGTTGTGAAACCAGAGAAAAGTGGTGGTTGCACTTAAGTCAATTTATACTTATTCTACATGTGCCCAGTTAATTCATGTTTGTCTCCTCCATTACACTGCAAGCTTCAGGACCTAGCATATAAGAAAGTCTGTAGCTACATTTGTTGGGTGAAATACTGCAGCTCCAAAGCCCTTCTAATATTAAAAAGGAGAACAAAAACTATTTGAGAACATAAGGAAAGGAAGATTAAAGATGTAACGATCAAAAGGTTCTCAATATCCAAAACTGACCACAAATACAAAGGGCCAAAAAAATAACCTCAAGTTCTATCAATAGCAAAACATCAAATCCATACACAGCATGACTTAGGTTAAACAGAGCAAGCCCCAATGAGATCTCTGAAAATACATAAGAGATCTATTTAGATCTCATAGGTTTACAGAAAATCCTAGCTGCCGTCCTTGCTACAGTCACAGTTTTGCACTTTAGTGGCCCTGGTCTTGTCCTATCACAGCACATGTCACTGTGGTATGTCTTTATGCTGCTTTTGGGTATGTGAAAAATGCAAAAATATATATTCTCTCTCCCCAGTTAGGTAATAAACTGTTTGAAAACAGGATTCCCCTGAACCCTTTCTCTGAAATCTTACAAGCATGTTTGTTATACCTCAGATCTTAAATGGAGTCACACCCAGAAATTAAGATAGTAAATGTGGGTGAAGAACAATCCTGGGGACATAGGGAAAAGGCTAGGGGAAAAGAAAAGACAGGATGGGGAGCTAGCATCAGCAACATGGCCAGTCTAAGTAACATCCCTACTCCTCTGGGGGATCAGGGTCAAAACCAGGAGAAAAGAGCACCTGCATGCTCCAATCCGAACCCCAGCCCCACAGGGCCCTTCATACAGTTCCTACTTGTGGAAAAGATGTCCGCAGGGCAGCTTCCTTGCAGCCTGCATGGAGTCCCAGCAGATTGCACAGTCATCATTATTGACAGCCAGCTCCTCTGGAGTTGCAACCGCAAACCTGTAAAACACAAAACAGGACCTGTCAGATTTAGACACACACATATATATGTACACCACTTTATATACTTCACTTTTGTAATGGCACAATTAGAAAGAAATTCTGATCAAGAATCTGAAGAATTTTCATAACCCTTCAAAGACCAAATGAGAAACTTATGCACAAAAACCAACTGTCATAATAATGGCTCCTGTTCATGATGACTTCAGGGAACATTTCTGGTTTAATGAGAGGAATAAGATCCAGTGATCCAAGCTATCCCCAAGACCAAAAGGATACCCACTAACTTACACCTGAAAGGCTTGATTTAGCCTTAGGTTGGCTAGTGAGTGCCTTCTTCAATGAGCATGCATGCAAACACACATGTGAAGAGTAACTGAGACTAGACCCACCTTCACAAAGTGAGGGCAGAAGCCCAGGGACCTTGCATTTAACAATGATGATGATAACATGAGATAAGGAGAAGAACCTAATATCTCAAGGATCCCTCCCCACAGTTCTAGGAAGAAGGACTCTCTTAGTTTTTTACAGATGAATTAGCTAGGGCATAGAAAGTTAATAAATTGCCCCAAACCATGTATCAAATAAATGGGATTCACAATGGGGCAGTCAAACTCTAGAGCTACACTCTTTACCATCCAGCTCACAGTTTACAAATGCACATTCTGATACAGTCATTATTGAAGAACTAAAATGAGTAACCTTGGGCAACATCAATTTATACTCACTTACCTGGCTTCCATGTTCCCGACCACACGCAGATAGTTCTTGTGCCGGCGAATTCGACGTTGTACCTCATGGAACAGGTAACGCAGCTGCATAAAGATGACCAGACTGGCCATGGATAACCAGATATTGCCAAATAACTTAAACAGAGAGAAAAAGAATAATTTTTATTTCACAATAAAAATGAAAGTGAACTTGCTAGTGACGAAGGTGCAGTATGCAACAGAAGCCCTTTGTGATTGGCAAAGGGGAAATGGAACAACCTTCCAGAAAGTGAATGTGTGTATTTATTTCATTACCCCAAACAAAGCACATGCTCTTCAGTACAACATCCCATCACCAAAAACCTCTCCTGAGCAACTAGTCAGAAACTTAAAAGCTTTATGCAAAAAGATGCCCAGATACACAATTGTATAAAAAAAGAAAATATGGAAATGAACAAGATGCCCAGCAGAGGAGGAAATAGGTTGTAAATTCAAATAATGCAACATATAGTCAGTCACAAATTATATTTATTATAATACACAATTATATATTAATATTATACTTCTATCTGTAAGTTTTGAATGTCAATTACTTAGGAATATAATAGTTGCTAAATAAAAAAGAGCAAACTTTAACTACCTTTAAGAAACTAACATGCAATTTAAAAAAATTATGTAAAGTTGTAAACTAGCAAACAACTGAATATAATCTAAATAGGCCATTGTGGGGTTTGGCTAATAAAATCATGGTATATCTATATGATGAAATTTTTATATCCTTAAAGTATTAAAATGGTTTAGAAGAACTGTTAACATAGGAGAACGGTCATTATACATTACTTGAAACTGGAGTCTGTAATCCCAGCACTCAGAAGGCAGAGGCAGGAGGACTGAGTTCAAGGCCAGGCTGGGCTACATAGTAAGATCCTGTTACAAAAAAAAAAAATCCCCACCTTTCTGGGGATATAACTCAGTAATAGAGCACTTGCCTGTTGTGTTTGAAGTCCCGAGTTTGATCCCCAGCATTGCAAAAATAACCAAAATTGTATGTCAAAACTATGTATCAATCTATGAATATATGCACTTGAATATATTAAGGAAGAACTTAAGGGCTGGAAATGCAACTCAGTTGTAGAGTACTTGCCTACCATGCCCAAGTTTGATCCTGAGTACCACCAAAAAACGAGCCAAAAGAGAGCACTGAAATGCAACAAAATGTTAACAGTTACCTCTGGACATTTGTTTCCCCCTTTCTTAAGAGGAAGGGACTCAAAAAAAACAATTGGCCAGGTGCAGTGGCTCAAGCCTGTAATCTTAGATACTTAGAGGATGGTTGTTCAAGGATGGGGGATAAGGGAGGAGTTTCCAAAATTCCATTTCAACCAATGGCTGGACACAGTGGCATGCTTCTGTCATCCCAGATATATAGGGAAGCACAAATAGGAGGACCGTAGTTCAGGGCAAAAAGCAAGATCCTAACTCAAAAATAACCAATGCAAAAAGGGCTAGCAGAATGGCTCAAGTGATAAAGTACCTGCCTAGCAGCAATTGTGAGGTTTTGAGTTCAAACTCCAGTAAACCCTTCCAAACAAAGAATTACAGGCTTTACTTTAAAAGCATATTTTCAAAAAGTAGACTTAGAAATGTGCTATGTCTAACCCAGTAATTTTTTCCTTTTTATTGTTTTTAGCTTGTATTATATAAAATAATGGGCTCATTATGGCATTTTCATATATATGTATGTATACGAAAATGGCCCAATACCCTCTCATGCCCCCTACCTCCTCCTGCTGGTCCCCACTTCCTCCTCCCAAATAGTGTCCCTTCTACTTTCATGTCTTTTTTCTTTTTAATTTAGATTCTACACAGGAGAGAAAACGTGATATATGTATTTCTTATTTCACTTAACTCGATGTTCATCAGTTCCATCCATTTTCCTGCAAATGATGTAAGTTCATTCCTTTTTATGGCTGAATAATCTTCTGTTGCATATATATACCACATTTTCTCTATCCACTCATCTATCGACAGGCACCTAGGCTGCTTTCATAGCTTGACTGTTTACAATACCCAACAATAAGCATGGGTGTGCAGGTATCTCTACTGCATCCTGCCTTTGATTCCTCTGGGTAAATACCCAGTAGTGGTATAGAGGCATCACACAGCAGTTCTAGTTTTAGTTTTTAAGGAACATCCATGCTGATTTCCACAGTGGCTGCACTAATGTACATTCCCACCATCCATGTGTAAAGATTGTTTTTCTTTGCATCCTCTCCGGTATTTGTTGTTGATTTTCTTGATGACAGCCATTCTGACCAAGTATGATGGAATCTCAGTGTCATTTTGATTTGCATTTCCCCGATGACTAAAGATACTCAATATTTTTTTCATGTAATTATTAGCCATTTGTACTTCTTTTGAGAACTGTGTGTTCATTTGTCCATTTATTGACTGAATTATTTGCTCTTTTGATGTTTAATTTTTTGAGTTTTTATATATTCTGGATATTAATCCCTTGTCAGATAAATAGCTGACAAAGGTTTTCTCCTATTCTATAGGCTGTCTCTTCACTCTGGTAATTGTTTCCTTTGCTGTAAAGAAGCTATTTAATTTTATACAATCCCATTTGTCGATCCTTGCTGTTATTTCCTGACCTATTCAAGAGTCCTACTTAGAAAGCCACTGCCTATGTGTACATCTTGAAATGTTTTCTCTATCTTTTCCTCTAACAGTTTGGTTTCATGTGTTAATGTTAAGGTCCTTGATCCACTTTGAATTGATTTTTTGTATAGGATGATAAACGGGGATCTAATTTCAGTCTCCAACATGTAGATATCCAGTTTTCCTAGCATTATTTGTTAAATAGGCAGTCTTTTGTACAGCATATTTTTTTGCCACCTTTGCCAAGAATCAGATGGCTGTAACTATGTGGGTTATTTCTTGATCCTCTTCACTTCCATTGGGCTAGGGGTCTATTTTTGTGCCAGTACCATGCTGTCTTTGTTACTATGGCTCTGTAGTATAATTTGAAATTAGATACTGGGATAGCTCCAGTATTGCTCTTTTTTTGCTTGTAGTTGCCTTGGGTATTTGTAATCCAGTAAATTGGTCTTGTTTTGGTTTTTTTGTCATTACTTGGGGTTGAACTCAGGCCCTCATACTTCCTAGGCAGATGCTCTACCACTTGAGCCCCTGTAAGCCTGTAACTTTTAAATCCTATTTTGTTGGGTTTATAATGTAAATAAAGTGCCCATCAACTGTGCTGACTCTCATCATTAAGAGAGCTCACCAATGAAGCAGATTTACTCTATAATTTCTAACACACAAAATGAAGGTGATAATGCAATTCCCATCAAAATTCCAATGACATTCATTAAAGAGATTGAAAAATCTACTGTTAAATTTATATGGAAACACAAGAGGCCACAAATAGCCAAGGCAATACTCAGTCAAAAGAACAATGCAGGAGGTATCACAATACCTGACTTCAAACTATATTACAAAGCAATAACAATAAAGACAGCATGGTACTGGCACAAAAACAGACATGAAGACCAGTGGAACAGAACACAGGACCCAGATATGAAGCCACACAACTATAAGCAACTTATCTTTGACAAAGGAGCTAAAAATATACGATGGAGAAATAGCAGCCTCTTCAACAAAAACTGCTGGGAAAACTGGTTAACAGTCTGCAAAAAACTGAAACTAGATCCATGTATAACACCCTACACCAAGATTAACTCAAAATGGATCAAGGATCTTAATATCAGACCCCAAACTCTTACGTTGATACAGGAAAGAGTAGGAAATACTCTGGAGTTAGTAGGTATAGGTAAGAACTTTCTCAATGAAACCCCAGCAGCACAGCAACTAAGAGATAGCATAGATAAATGGGACCTCATAAAGCTAAAAAGCTTCTGTTCATCAAAAGAAATGGTCTCTAAACTGAAGAGAACACCCACAGAGTGGGAGAAAATATTTGCCAACTATACATCAGACAAAGGACTGATAACCAGAATATATAGGGAACTTAAAAAACTAAATTCTCCCAAAACTAATGAACCAATAAAGAAATGGGCAACTGAACTAAACAGAACTTTCTCAAAAGAAGAAATTCAAATGGCCAGAAAGCACATGAAAAAATGCTCACCATCTCTAGCAATAAAGGAAATGCAAATTAAAACCACACTAAGATTCCACCTCACCTCTGTTAGAATAGCCATCATCAGCAACACCACCAACAACAGGTGTTGGCGAGGATGCGGGGAAAAAGGAACCCTCTTACACTGTTGGTGGGAATGTAACTAGTACAACCACTCTGGAAAAAAATTTGGAGGCTACTTAAAAAGCTAACATGATCTACCATTTGATCCAGCAATACCACTCTTGGGGTATACCCAAAAGACTGTGACACAGGTTACTCCAGAGGCACCTGCACCCATGTTTATTGCGGCACTATTCACAATAGCCAAGTTATGGAAACAGCCAAGATGCCCCACCACTGACGAATGGATTAAGAAAATGTGGTATCTATACACAATGGAATTTTATGCAGCCATGAAGAAGAACGAAATGTTATCATTCGCTGGTAAATGGATGGAATTGGAGAACATCATTCTGAGTGAGGTTAGCCTGGCCCAAAAGACCAAAAATCGTATGTTCTCCCTCATATGTGGACATTAGATCAAGGGCAAACACAACAAGGGGATTGGACTATGAGCACATGATAAAAGCGAGAGCACACAAGGGAGGGGTGAGGATAGGTAAGACACCTAAAAAACTAGCTAGCATTTGTTGCCCTTAACGCAGAGAAACTAAAGCAGATACCTTAAAAGCAACTGAGGCCAATAGGAAAAGGGGAACAGGTACTAGAGAAAAGGTTAGATCAAAAAGAATTAACCTAGAAGGTAACACCCACGCACAGGAAATCAATGTGAGTCAACTCCCTGTATAGCTATCCTTATCTCAACCAGCAAAAACCCTTGTTCCTTCCTATTATTGCTTATACTCTCTCTACAACAAAGTTAGAAATAAGGGCAAAATAGCTTCTGCCGGGTATCGAGGGGGGAGAGGGAGGGGGCGGAGTGGGTGGTAAGGGAGGGGGTGGGGGCAGGGAGGAGAAATGAACCAAGCCTTATATGCACATATTAATAATAAAAGAAAAAAAAAAAAAAAAAAACAAAAACCAAAATGAAGGTGGTAGAAATTAAGTACAAGGACTTTGTTTTTAATTACAAAAATGGAAGATTTATGAATCCATGAAGTAGCAAACACTGCAGAACTTCCAATTACAGTAAAGGCACCTTATTAGAGGATTTATTATACATGGGGTAACCAAGCATCAAAAAATAGTAATAAAAAAATCAGAAGAATTTCAAAAACAATTTTTTTTTTTTTTTTGGTGGGACTGGGGTTTGAACTCAGGGCTGTGCACTTATAAAGCAGGTGCTCTAGCACTTGAGCTATGCCTCCAGTTCATTTTACTCTGGTTATTTTGGAAATGAGGTCTCATGAACTATTTGTCTAGGCTGACCTCAAACCACAATCCTCCTAATCTCAGCCTCCCAAGTAGATAGGATTACAGACATGAGCCACCAGCACCTCAAAAACAAAAATTTTAAACTCCAACATGTACATTACATAGCTCAGCTGATGTGGAGCTTTCAGTCAGTCACATTTTATTGTCAGTTGTGTTTAACTCATTGTGTGTTCTGCTGAGTTGTTCCCCTGCCCTTATTTTTGTGAAAATAAGCATCCCAAAAAGCAAGAAAAATGTTAATGTGCTTAATTTAAGTGATAAGGCAAAATTTTAGATTTTCTGAAATGTGGCACATCTTTAGCAGAAGTTCAGTAGACTATAGGAAAGAACCAAGCAACTACAAAGCCCAGTACTAACTAAGGCATCCTGAGCGCTCGCATTTCTTCCTCAGTAGGGGTCTCCTTGGAACCATGTGCTCATGGATACCAAAACTGTTAAATGTGAGCAGCCACGTGGAGAAGTAACCCCTTAATTTCATGCTAGAACAATGATCGATTAACTTGGTCAGTAGAGTTAACCAAGTCTTCTAGCACAACAATCACTTCCTGAGCTGGTCTCCAGCCAAAGTGATTCCATGACACTGCTTTTACACCCAGTGGGAAAAGAGGAAGGCTGCCCAGCCACATTTTAAGTGGTCATCCACATCTATCCCAACTGTTTAATTTCTTAATGTACAAACCAGGGCTCCTAATTCTGTCAGAGCTCTTTCTCGGGGAACTTACCAACATGTGAATGTGGTGCATGAGGTCCAGTGACAGGAGAGTGAGCTCCATGACAAAATCAGTGTAGTAAACGTAAGTTCCCTTTCCTTCCCAGGTCCCTTCATGGTTGAGGTCCCAGAGGTGAATTACATATCTGCAATACAGAGGTAGAAAAAGAGAAAAGCATCTTAATTTAGCATTATGAATGAATTTAAACACACTGTAGTTGACTTGTATTTTCATATAATTTACATCTGTTACATCTTAAAGTCAACTGAATAAGTAGACCTCAGTTATCTCTCTCCAAAATTTCTACTCACCGTAAAATTACATGAGCAGTCCTCACTGTCACAAGAAGAGACTGTAAAAGACAAACATTTCTCAATTCAATTAAAAAGCAAGTTGTTCAAGTTTACTAACCATTTATTTCCTCTGCTTCAAATTTACATGAAATATTTTCATACTATATAGGAACCTAACTTTTACTGTGCCTTTCCCAGTTAATAAGCAACAACCAATTGCACCTATCTATCTCCCGGGAATGACTTCTACAATCTTGACATTCACTCTAGTGGTTTAACAATCACTTCTATTTGATATAACACTACAGCATTGCCTAAATGGATGCCTGACTATAACTAAAGTTATGCCTGATGCATAACTAAAGTTATGACACCATAACTTTAAAGTATACTTTAGATACTACCATCCTAGATAGGAGTACCTACTCTGGCCCAAATGCTCTGTGTACTCCCTTTCTCTACCAGAAAAAAAGAGAATGAAGGAAATCAAAAACAAAATACAGGTTTCATGGTATTTGTGTTAGAGCTTAAACTTCCATTTATAAGTGCAAAATATTTTACATGAAAGCAAAACACTATGATAAAGAGTATCTATAGCATGATAACTCATCTTAGAAGAACAGTAAGAAGTTGAAATAAAAGTATGTACTACAATATGACCACACAGGCCTAATTTAAATGTGTTTATTTTTAGGTGTACCTTTTTCAAAAATCTGGCCTAATATTAACTGAAAGTTAGGTAACAAAACAAGGCAAGCAGGTATCACTCAAATAGCACTTTATACCTGAGTGTAGTGCCTTACACACTACTCAAGAAGCAGAGATCAGTAGGATCTTGGTTCCAGGCCAGCCTGGGCAAAAAGCTCACGAGATGCTATGTCAACCAATAAAAGCTGGGTGTGATGATGCACCTGTCATCCCAGCTACACAGGAAGTATAAACAGGAGGATCATGGTTCAGGCCAGCTTGGGCACAAGTGTGAGACCCTATTCATAAAATATACAAAGCAAAAAGGGCTAGAGGTATGGCTCAAGTGAGAGAGCACCACCTGCCTGGCAAATAAGAGGCCCTGAGTTCAAACCCCAATACCAAAAAACAAACAGTATTAAAGCAAACTAAATAATGTAAGCCAGTACAAACAAAGTTTTAAACATATCTTCTTTTAAAGGAAATATAATTACCTACTTTTCAATACAGAAAATAGTCAACTAGGATTGTAAATGTTTTTATTAAGTACTTATGTGTTCCATTTCAAATTTTATTTACAGTACGATGTACTCAGAAATGAACATTACTAAGGAAAAATAAATTTAACCCTGCTCTAACAAATTCCCAAGTAACAGTTCACACTTGTTTTCATAACTTACTTTGTTTTGATACGAGCCAGTTAACTTCAGTATATAAAATATAGTAATCCCCACTTATTAGCAGGAGATATGGCCCAAGAACCCCCGCTATGGACACCTAAAAACCAGATGGTACTAAACCCTATATCTGTTTTTTTTTTCTAATATGCCCTAAAGCATTGCCACAAAATACTATAGTTATCCTGTCCTTTGTGTTTTGTGTCTGCTGCCTCCTTTGCATCATTATTCTTGCATGTTAGGGTCATTATAAAGTTAAATAAGGGTTCCTTGAACACAAACACTGGGATACACAACAGTTGGTCTGATAAATGAGATAAGGACTAGGTGAGCGATGGGTGAATAGCACAAACAATGGGATTACATTGGACAAAGAGATAATTCATGTTTCAGAGATAGCACAGGATTTAATCCAGCAACTCAGTGTACAATTTAGAACTTATGAATTGTGGGGCAGGGTGTATAAGCTAAGTGGAAAAGCACATACAGCCCTAAGTTCAATCCCCAGCACCCAAAAAAGACCAAATGAATTGTTAATTTCTGGAATTTTCCATTTAATATTCTCAGACAGCAGCTAACTAAAGATAACTGAAACTACAGAAAATGAAACCACAAATAAGGGGAACTACCACATTGTATTTTTTTAAATCAGCAATTATAGGTAAGATAAAATTAGTTTGTTTTTGGCATGAAGAAAAAGAACTAAAGTCACCGAATGCAAAATCTGAGTTTCTACTGAACACAAATTGGTATTTTCTGGAAGGTTTAAAAAACGTTTTTGGAGGGCAGTACTAGGGATTAAACTCAGGGCCTCACACTTGACAGGTCACCACTCTACCATGTGAGCCACTCCCCTAAAACTGTATTTATTTTAAAATTAAAAACATTTATGGAGGGCTGAGAGTGGAGTTCAGTGACAAGAGTATTTGCCTCACACGCTACTTGCCAAGCATGACTCAAAGCCCTGGGTTCAATCTCCAGCACTACAAAAACAGTAATAATAATAATAAATTCCTTCAAAATAATGAGTATAGTTTACATATTCATTATTATATAAAAATTTAATTTATATCTTAGCTAAAAAAAAAAGAGCAATTAGATATTTCATGAACAATCACCAACCACTGATTATTATATCCCAAGAGGAACATTCTTCCTACTTAGGAGTCAGTGGACTTAGATTCGGCCACTCGCCACTCTGGAACCTCAAAAACAATTCGCTTCACCATGTATGCCTCAGGGTCCACCTTCTTATCCTGTGGCATCCATTGCATTCCCCTCCCCCTCCTGTCACAAACAGGAATAATAAAATGAGTCAATACATGTGAAATATTTAGAACAATCTCTGGTATATAGTAACTACTATATAACTTAGGGAAAAATAATTCTTTTTTTTATTAGGTTGTAGCAAGGATTACAAGAAATATCACATATAAAGCATTCAGCACCAGCACCCAACACAAAAAAAGGAACCCAATAAATTCTTGTGAAAATGATCTGCCAATAATCCTCTAGCTTCCTGGAATAGGTACATGAATATAATCAGAGCAAACTTGTGTCCAGCATCTTACCTCTGCAGCCATGAAAGCCAAGGTATGCATGCCATGGGTGTAGCCTGTGACACAACAGACAACCGCTAATCCACAGCAGGAAAGCAGCATAGCAATCAACAGAGCCAGGACTCTCCCATGGCTGCTCATTGGTGTGGTGGGAGAAAAGGAAAGCTGAAAGGGACAAAACAGAAAGGTAGCTCATTTCTTCTTCATGGCAGTGGTAGTAAAATGCCCTGAGAACTCAAGGTCAAGCTTGGCATCCTTACTTGGGTCTCTGTGCTAAGTCAAGAAAAGCATCCTATTACCATACAGTCAAAATTCTCCAATGACCAGAATATGAGTATGAGCTACAGATATTTACAGATTTTTATCATTTAATTTACCAGATATAATAATATGCATTATATTTTTATCTCTTCTTCTCAAGGATCTTCCTACCACTAAGACTATAAGACTTTGGAAGTGATTGTTCAAGGATACACAATTCCCTCCCCTAACATTAAACAGTACTGAGAACAGTGTCATCTTCTGCTGCGTTTCTTGTCAATCTTGCTCTAACAGTCCTCTGCAATATTCATTGGAGGCCATTCCTAGTCTGTTAGGGCTGGGACAAGTGAAATGTAATCAGGTGCAGATTTACTACTTATAATCTTATGTCAGTGTTGTGCAAGGAGAAGCAACAGTCTGAAAAAGAAGGCCTGGAGCTGTGACTCCTGAAATAGTAGGTATGAATTACAAACTAGCTGGGGAGGTTAGGCACTCCTATTTGTAGCAGGGAATGGGGGTTGAACTGGGAAAGAAGTCTCTGAGAGTGGAATTAACTCACAGAGAAGTGCAAGGACTAACTGATCCAGGTGGACTAGGTAACACAGGACTCAAGGCCCTGCATTGGGTCTAACTGAGCGGCAGAACTGCAGGTGCACATTTACCTGGGACCCACGAGACTGGCGCCCGAGCACTAATGAGGAAGGGCTCACCTGCATAGCTCTGACCTGAAGTCAGAGGCGATCTTGTACCCAGACTGGAAAGATTCTTTTCTTTCTGATCAGGGAAGCTGACAGAACTAATTCAGTCCTAGGCCAGAGGGGAAACAGTATAAACTAGTGAGAAAGAAGAGCTCCAAGAAGCAGGGTAAAGAAGGGAGGAGATTAGAACAGAACATATCCAGAAAAGACCAGATTTTTTCGAGGTTTTATATCAAGGTTTCCTTATACTCTGATTAAAACAGTTTGTGTAGGTGAGCTGACCCCATGTGGGCTGTGACATTACACACTACAGGGCTAGGGAGGAACCCTCCTAGGAGACCCGGATTTCTGCATTCCTCGATGTACAGATACTCCTCAAGAAACAGACAATGGGGAACTGACCCAGAAGTCATTCTCTCAAGAGCTACCCCAAACATGATCACTGTGGCTCCTTCATGTTACACAATTCAAAACTGGCAAACATGTAACTAAGCAAGTAGAGCTTGGCTAAAACTCACATATTCAAATCGGTCCTTGCAGAGCTGAACCATCAGATGCAGAAAAACAAGTCCAGCAAACCAGAGGCACCACATGACCACCTCTTCCACAGTCTGAACATTCAGCACACCAAAAATGAAAATGAACTTGTAGAAAATAAAATTCCAAAACTTGTCTTTGAGGTGCTAAAAGGAAAAATGTTTATACAGGTGAGTATTATCACACCTAACCCACTTAAGAAAGGTTAACACAATAAAAGCAAGCTTACAGGAGAAACACTTTGTCCTTAGCTTTGAACATTTGTCCATAAGAAAACAGAAAGCAAGGGAAAAAAGCTGTTCTTTGAAGAACAGAGGAAAGTCACTCAGAAAGTTCTTTGTAAACTTTGGACTGTCACCCTGGATCAGTTACGAGATTTTAGCCATTAGAAAGGTAGTGATAAGAATTGGAGATGTGCTTCATGTAGTACAGCACTTGCCTAGCAAGGTCAAGGCTAAGTTTAAACCCCAGCTCCACCAAAAAGAAAATGTAGTGATAGAGTCTAGTACCTTAGGTATAAGAAATATCTTATACCTAAGAAAATAAAATTTTCTATGCATAATAGAAAAGAATGACAAGGGCTATCTGTATCATTTTTAATACTGCTCTTCTACAATTTCTTAAACAAATTCTTAATTTCTTAAAAAAATTCTTTAGCATATCTGGGCAATGGTGGCTCACACCTATAATCCTAGCTACTTGGAAGACTGAGATCAGGCAGATCATGGTTTGAGGCTAGCCCAGGCGAATAGTATGTGAGACCCCCATCTCCAAAATAACTATAGTAAAATGGATTGGAGGTGCTGCTCAAGAAGTACAGTACCCGTTTTGCAAGTGCAGTTCAAACCCTAGTACCACCAAAAAACAAAAGCACTTTTCTATTCAAGGTGAGAGGGGAGGAAAAAAAACACAAAGTTAAAATAAAAATGATGTTTTAAGCGGGGGCCATGGTGGTTCATGCCTGTAATCCTGGATACTCAGGAGGCAGAGATCAGGAGAATCACGGTTTGAAGCCATCCTGGGCAAATAGTTCAAAAGACCCTATCTTGAAAAAAACCCTTCACAAAAGAGGTCTGGTGAAGTAGCTCAAGGTGTAGGCCCTGAGTTCAAACCCTAGTACCAAAAAAAAAAGGATGCCTTAACATTTTAGTTACTTTCTTATCTTCCTCCAACATATAAAATACATCAATCTTTGTATACTTTCTTTCATCTATCATTGTGAGAACCTTACCAATGTTGGTGAATATTCTCTGAACAAACCAATATACCATTTTAATGGTTACAAATAGACACAAACTGTTTTCATTTTCTACCACCCAGAAAATATTATAATGGATACCTATTATAAATTCCTACTTCTTCAGTATTGCTGAATCAAAGATTATAAATATTTTTATGGTTTTGGTAAATAACAATTACTTGATTTCCAAAGAAGTTGTATATGCTTCTGACAAAGAGTGTGTATATATTTGCCTCACTGTAATCTTTTCTAAACTGAAGATTTCCAGTTTGAAAAGAAGCCAATAGCTCACCCTGTAATCCAACCCACTTGGGAGGAAGAGATCAGGAGGATCACAGTACAAAGCCAGCCCAGGCAAAATGCCAGACCCTATCTCAAAAATACTCAACCAAAAATAGGCTGGCAGAGTGGCTCAAGTGGCTAGGTACTTGCCTAGCATGCATGAGACCCTGAGTTTGAAGCCCAGTTCCACGGCCCCCACACACAAAAAAATCTTTACTACCCTGGGGGGGAATATAGGCATAATGGGGTTTAGCCCTACCATTGGTTAAACTATACAATTAACCAACCATCTATGGGGATGAGAGGTAATTGGGTGAAGAGGGTAAGAATGGAGGCATGACTTCTAAGAACACTTTTATACATAATTTTAAATTATATAAACATTTTACAAATTAAAAATAAAAAAGAGCAAAATTAAAAACAAGCAATTGAGCCTAAATGTGCAACAAATTGACAACATGACTTAAAAATTATTTTGAGTTTATAAACATTATACTCTGATTATGTACCTTGTGTCCAGAGAATAAAATAACCTGGAGAAAAAAAAATCAAAGTGTATTCCCCAACTCTGCCCACGAAAAAGGCAAAGATACCTAAGTACAAGGAGCATACACTACTACACTATTCAGGTCCTGGCTTCTGAGTGCCATTCCCCAGTGAGATGAACAAGGAGTCCTCAGCGAATGTGTTTTCAGACCCAGGCAGGGAAAATACAAGAGGAACTTAGGACATTTTTGTGCCCTGATTTTCAATCTTGACTCTGTAACTTACCTGCTGTCTGACCTGGGATAACATTTCTGAGCTTTGGCTTCCCTATCTAGAAAATGGGTCTTAGGTCTTACAATAACAGCATATATCTCACAGATTATTGAGGATGAACTAAATTAATGTGTAAAATGTTTTTTAAAATGCCATAATATGGACTCTTTATTCCCATTTCCCATGTGGGAAACAGGAAATGTTTCTTCCCCTCCCCCCTCTTCTCCCTACTATACTAAAGTAAATCCTTGCTAAAATTTCAAAAAAAAAAAGGCATAATACTCATCAAATGATTTAAAAACCAAAAAACCTCATTGCTCTAAACCTGCACATACCATTTTAATATTTGTTCCATTTGAGGTATTAAATGTCTTTGCCTCTACCCTATTTCTTGAACTTCAACACCCACAGAGCAAACTCATGTCAATTCTTTGGAGTTCTAACTCAAAATAGTTCTTAATAAATGCTACCAAACATGTTAGGGAAAACAAAGTACTTAACGCTCACAGGAATTAGATCACTCCACCAGCAATTAGATGGCCTCTCTCTAGCCTGACTAACTTCTGGGCCACAAACAAAAACTGGAAGAAAATAATTTTTAAGAAAAATCTGAAGAAGAAAGAAGTATCAAAGGGGGCTTTATATCTACAAAAAAATGTCTATGTTCTACTGAGCCCATTTTGAGACCTCTGGAATTGATAGTCTAGAGAAAGTGCTGAATATCACTAATGAAAAATGTCTGGCTGGTGAAGAGGCTCAAGCATTAGAAGCACCAGCCTAGCAAGCATAAGGCCCTGAGTTCAAACTCCTGTGCTTGGGGTGGGGAGGGGAGTACCTCTGGAAAAATAAAATGGTTCAGCTCACAACAGCATTCAAGGACTCAACCACAGAAGAGCCACATTTCAGCTCTAACTAGACCTCAGCTGATTTTATAATTGTTCCAATGTTTCACAATCTCAGCCTGAAACAAGGGCAAGTCACCTGATTTTCTGTTTGTAAAACAATGAATCTTCATTTACTTTCCCACAAGAAGAAATCAGAAAATTCTGCTAGGAAAGAACCTTCATTCTAAATAGTGAGATCTATCACTATTTTAAATAAACAATGATTATTTTATTGTTTTTATTTTTGGTGGTACTGGGGTTTGAACCCAGGGCTTCATGCTTGCTAGGTAAATCCTCTACTGCTTGTGTTAGCTACACCTACAGCTCAAACAATGACTGCTTTAAAAATTACATCAAGGGGCTGGGGTAGAGCATATGCTTAGCATGCTCTAAACCGTGGGTTCAATTCCTGGCACCAACAATCAATCAATAAAAATTTTATTTAAAAAGTCATGGGGGAAATAGCTACTGGGACAAATTAGCTACACTAAGCACGGACTATGGATTAGACAAGATATTTTATCAATGCTAAATTTCCTAATTTTTTTTTTTGGTGGAACTGGGGTTTGAACTTAGGACTTCATGCTTATATCTACAAAAAAATGTCTGTAGAGTAGGTGCTGTACTGTTTGAGTCATACCTCCAGTCCATTTTTTTCTGGTTATTTTGGAGATGGTGCCTTGTGAACTATTTGCCCAAGCTGGTCTCGACCACAATGCTCCTGATCTGAGCCACCCAAGTAACTAGGAATGATAAGTGTGAGCCACCAATGTCCGGCCTAAATTTCCCAATTTATCATTGTGCTGAGGTTATATATAAAAACGTCCTTGCTCTTAGAAATACATTTTGAAGTATTTGGTGCTAAGAGATGTCAACTAATCTCAAATGGATTACAAAAAAAAAAATGTATCTATAACTAAAAAGTGAAAATGAAAGCAAATGAGAGAAAAGAGTCCCTGGTGAATCTGGATGAAGTGTACATAGGAGTTCTTTTATAATATCCATGGAACTTCTCTGTATGTTTAGATTATCTACTGTCTAGACTTACCTGTCTCTCACTCACTCGAAGAGGGCCAAACACAATACATTGGATAAGCTTAGCCACCAACATCAAAACGCAGCAAGCAGTATTTACCAGCACCTGTACACAAATCAAACAAAGGAAATTTAGTTCCTCATATTGAAAAACAAAAGCGGCCCTGAAGATTTCATATGAGGAATCCAGCCATTATTTCCAATGAATGACAGAGCCTTCCCAGTTTACCAGTGCAAGCTCAGAACTGTTTGAAGGACAGCAGGAGGGATGAAATATGGGGTGGAGAGGCACCAGCTTAACAGCTAATTCAGTTCACTGTCCCAATGTGCACCATCCAGTAGGCCACCTTACCTTTCAGTCTTGACTAAACTCTATATGTAGACTTTGCACTCACTCTATAAACTGTATGCACCAAGCCAAACATGGTGGCACATGCCCATAAACCCAGCACTAGGGAAGCTGAGGCCAGCATGGACTACATAGTGAGTTCAAGTGTGGGCTCCATAGGGAGACCCTGTCTCAAAAAAAAAAAAAATACAAAAACTATGTATCTCACAAATTTCAGGGATATCATTTCCTACATGAAGACTGATAGCTTTAAGAAAACTGTTCTTAGGCTGGGCACAGTGGTTTACACCTGTACTCCCAGCTACTTGGGAGGCAGAGGTCACGGTTGGAGGCCAGCCTGGGCAAAGTTTCGCAAAATCTCATTTCAACAAATATGCCAGGCATGATGTTACATATCTGTAATCCCAGATACAGGGAGACACAGGTAAGAGAATTGTAGTCTGAAGCTGGCCTGGGGCAAAAACATGAGTCCCTACTAATAACTAAAGCAACAATGGGCTGGGGGTGTGTCTCAGTAGAGTACCTGCCTAGCAAACACAAGGCACATTGGCTCACTCCTGTAACCATAGCCACTCAGGAGGCAAAGATCAAGAGGATCGAAGTTCAAAGCTAGCCCCAGGCAAATAATTCAAGAGACCCTATCTTGAAAATACCCAACACAGGGCTAGTGGAGTGGCTCAAGCAGTAAGAGTGCCTGCCTAGCAAGCAAGCATGAGACCCTGGAGTGACTCAAGTGGTACCGCGCCTGCCTAGCAAGCAGGAGGCCTTGAGTTCAAACCCCAGAACCACAAAATAACAAAAACAAACAAACAAAAAACCACCCAGCACCCAAATATCCTACTTTGACAAACAAATAGGAGGTGGGGGTAGAGGAGTTTATGGTGACAGAAAAGTCACAAGATCATGGAGAACCACTAGTAACAACAAATGTGTGTGTGTGTGTGTGTGTGTGTGTGTGTGTGTGTGTATCTACAGAGAGAGAGAGAGAGAGAGAGAGGGAGAGAGAGAGATGTATTGTCACAGGACAACTTGCCAACCAAAAGATAAACATTCCCCATGTTGGTGTCTGCTCTGGGGCATTATAGGAGAGTGGGATGGGAAAACAGGAAGAAGAAAAGTGGTGAGCAGGACTGAGAAATGAAGCTTCCCTGGGATATCAATGCAAAACCAAGGCCTTCCACATTTGGTGAGAAAACTTTCTTTCTCAAAATAACTAAGAGATGCATATTCTTACACCTAAACAACAAATCTTAATGCTTACAAAATGGAAGAGTAGGTTTGTCTGACCAAGTAGTTAGGATGGCACAGCACATTACTGATGCTGAAATGCTTTTAAAAACTCTGAATGACTCAAAAAAGCCAAGAGGATCTTGAGAAAGACAGTTAAGATGATTTTTATTGAGAACAAACGAATAGAGATACTATTCCAATGTAAAAGCTGCTTCAACCTTTGATACACTAAGTTTATATGGTAGGTGGCTACAGTCCTTCCCAACTCAGCCTTCCCTGTTTTTAAAAGCAAATGGAAAAAAAGGGAGGGAAGAAGAAAAGGAGGGAGGGAAGGAGAGGAAGAAGGGTACAACATTCTATTTGAAAAACAAACTAAAAAGCAAAAGAGACTGGGGAGGGCATGGCTCAAGTGGTAAAACACTTGTAAGCTGGAGGCCCTGAGTTCAAACCCCAGTTTCCCCCTCCCCAAAAGAAAAGAAAGGAGGGAGGGTGATAAGAGAGCCCTTTAAGAAAGCAAGCTCCCAGTGTGAAGCCCTGAGTTCAAACTCCAGTATCGCCAAAAAAAAAAAAGCAAGCTCCCTAAGATCTCTCCAGGTTCCCATTAGGATCTTACACCATCTGCCCCTTTGGTAGAACACATAAGGGCAACCCTGATTCATTACAAAAAAAATTAAATTATGTTTAGTTCTATTCTGCTGCTTAATGGGGCCAGGAAGTTAGTAATATAATTTTAAGAATTGAAACAAAAATAGTTCTGATGAAAAAGAAACTGGGCACTTAAATCCTTCAAATAACTGGGGGAAAAAGTCCACACTAATTGCCCCAAATATGCTATACCCCTTATGTGTGACTCCCCATATAACAGCCCTATTCAAAATGTTCTGGAAGCAGAGCATGGTGGCTCGTGCCTGTAATCCCAACACTGGAAAGACCGAAGCAGAAGGATCCTGAGTTGGAAGCCAGCCACTACATAGCAAGACTGTCTTGAAACAAAACAAAACAGAACAGTTGCAGAGAACCAAGAATGCTGATTTTGGGTAATGAAATAGATGTTCTAGAAGGCTCACCTTCACTTTGCTTTGCTGGTCAGTCAGAACACCAGCCATGTGATTAGGAAAACTATCATAACACAGAAACACAATCCTCATGCCCCATCCTCTAGCCAAACAGGGTATTTTAAATCACCAGACAAATTATAACATAATTTGCTATCTTTCCTGACTTTTTTTTTTTTTAACAGAATGTTGCATAGTTAATCACATTTCTGCATTTTGCTGTTTTTCATGATCTGGAAGTTCTCTTGAATTCTTGTTTCCTTGATTTATATGTAGTCATATAAATTTGAAAAAAAATAAAGGCAACCCATTTATCACTTGCTTAAGGCAGTGGGCGGGTACTGAGGGGAGTGTGGCCCCTGAACTCAGAGCTTTTAGAATCTCCAGGACACTGAAGCCTGTGCAGTCTGTGGGGAGAGAAGAAATCAAATTTAGGGTCACTTAATGATTTCTCTAGTGAAATAGCATCCTTGCATATCTTGGGTCACAGTACAAAAAAATAAAGTATTATTTACTACTTTCAGTTAGCCTTTTAAAAATAGATGTTAAGTTAAAAAAATAATGTATAATGTTTCTTTTTGACTTATCCCCCCACAAAAGGTGAATGTCTGTCATAATTCCATCAACCATACATAACCATTTCTTATTTTAATTTAAGTGGAAGATTTAAAAATTAGCTTGGCTAAGAAGGAAAAAGAGGCCTGAGAGGGTATATGAGGATTTATGTAAACAGAAAGAGATCTTTCTAAGAAAACCAAAGCTGCAAAGAATTGGAAACAACTAAAATTATCTTAATATTACCAACAAAGTTTTTTAGAAGTCTGAATGATTGTTAATAGCTATTCTATGCCTGTTTATAGAAAATGTCTTAATTTCACAACTATTATATCATTCTTGTAGGCATACATAACTTCTCAACCTCAACTGACAAAGGCTTGAAGACTGTAATTACTAAAGGAAATGTAATTGCTGCATTCTTCATTTAAAAGCAAATCCCCAATTAGATACTTCTAGGCATCCATCTGTAATACTCTGGCAGAAGCAACACAATCCACAGAACTCCCTGAGTCTGATCCCCCACATTGCAAAATACATAATCTATCAATCCACAGATGGGACAAACTTTCTTGCCTCCAATAATCACACTGAAGCTCATGTTTAGCAAGCCTAACCTGAGCCACCTCTTTTATTCACTTATGACAGTAAGACAGCAAACTATTTTGTCTGTTCTATCAGCTTACTCGTTTTTCATGTGGGCAGAATACAAACTTCAGCTGTAAAGGTTTCACTGAAGCACTGTTTGCAACAGCAGAAAAATACGGGGGAAAAATGCCCATCATGGAAGACTGAGGTGAATAAATGTGTAACATGTATTCAGCGAACCCATATGAGGCCAGTAAAACCAACCCAGCAGCTCCATGTCACCAGCACTATACGGAACCTTCAAGATAACAAAATATCAAGTAACTTCAAGATAAAAAGTCAAGGAAACAAGAATTCAAAAGAACTTCCAGATCATAAAAAACAGCAAAATGCAGAAATGTGATTAACTATGCAACATTCTGTTAAAAAAAAAAAAGTCTGTTCACAGATGTAAATTGTGTTAATGATTCTGTCTTCCTCTTAACACTAGCACTGACGACAAGAAGCTAGTAATGGACACTTCTGTGGGAAGCAGGCAGGTGGCCGGGAGAGACACACTGATTTTTCATTGTCTATCACTTTTGTATACTTTGACTTCAAACTATGAGCCTGTATCATCTACTTTTTAAATTATTTTTTTAGCTGAGATTCTACTAAACTCATCGGACTAGTTCCGAAATTCCATGCTATTTTTCTCAACTTATGAGACAGATGAGTGACAAATCAAAACTGGGTGGCATAAGCCATATATTCACCTGATCTCCAGACTTGGAGAAATAAAGCTTCAAGGGGTTGCTCACCTCCCTTCTCTCACAGCAGGGCTCTTCCTCCACCTCCTGTTACCTTATACTTGGGGGCGCCTCTTCACCCGCTCAGCCTCCCATTTAAATCAGAAGATTCTATGGATTTCTCATTGAAAGACCAGTTTTTAGGACCCTGCTATCTTCACATGCTGTTCTCTGCCTATTATGTCCTTGACTGCTTGGGCCCCTCCCTGTCTTCCAAGGCTAGATTTGCATAACACCTTCTACCAGTCCTTCCCTGGGTAGAATTCCATTCTTTGTTCTCCAAGCTGTACCATATTTCATTTGTACATCTACTGTCACTCATCATATTTTGCCTTATTTACATATGAGTCACTTTGAGAGTAGGGGAAAGTATTGTTCACAGCTTTGCCCTCCAGCGTGCTGAAAATAGCACTTTTGGAAGGTTTTGAATTAAGTGTTAATACAAAACCTCCTGGAATGCTATCGAATCTATATTATTCTAAGTTGTCTTGTACAAAGATAACTTTTAGAGATTCCAATATGCTAAATAATAGCTAGCAGCGTTTGCAAACTGACAGAGGATCAGTTTTTGTTCTGCCTTGCTTAGCCTTGGCAGGCAGTGTTTCTGAAAAAATTTTATCTGAATGCCTTTGAACAGGGCTCAAGATGCATCCATTTTGATAAAGGCTCCACCACCTGCTCACTCAGTAATTTGTCAGACCACTGGGGAGAGTTTGAGACGGTGACTTCTACTGAGTGACTAAAGCGCAAACTACGCACTAGACAATAAAGGAAATTTACAGTGCACACATAAAGCCAGGAAGGTCAAAATGATCATATGAAAACTGCAGAGGAAAGATGGAAGAAATAAAGTATGAAGTTCAACTAAGAAATAAGAATATCAACAGTTAGAAATGATAAACTAGAATGAGGCAAGACTTCTGAGAAGAAAAGGAAAGTTTCTTAAAAATTTATAATCTTCACAGAAAAATCAACAGGCTTTAGGTAATGTTTTACAAAGAGGTATTATTAATCTTGGAATGTGAACATGGATCCTGCAAGAAGAAAATTCTAGGGGAAAAAGTCATTAAACAATATTAGTAGTTACATAAGTACAATAGAGGTTCCTTCTCAAAGGCTTATCTATATTTTAGACTAAAAGAAGGTATCGAACATTGCACTATAATCCTAAAGCACTACTCACATCATTTTGAATTGTTTACCTGCTGACTCAAGAGCAAAACTAGATGTGAAATTAAACAAGAGACGTGAGCTGAGTTCTCTTCTCCCTTCTTTGGTACTATGTGTGGTGTCTTTGCACAGCAGAGAAACAGGAACTTCACTCTACTGCCCTCTGTTAAAGAACTCTTCGTTGGAAGGACCAGGAGACTTCATCGCCAGCCCACAGAGTTCATAAATCCCACTGCTTCCTGATGAAGCACAGTGGGAATAATTACAACAAATGAGTTGTACATCGCGTTGTAAACGTAGAGGATTAATCTCTCAGTCATTTACAGCCTACTCTCAAGGCCAAGTGAGAACTTGCAAGGGAAAGAGACAAGATCCCAGGGGCCACAGTCAATCCAAGCGACAGGCTGTACATTTGCCAACGAGTGACTTCTCTGCTCACTTTGGGATTCAAGTGCAAGGTGAGAGCGAAGGTCTTTCACCAAAATACTGTTGATCTGCCCACCCTGCAATGATCTAATAAACGAAACCAGAGTCTAGGCCATGTGAATGCTTGCTTATCGTGAACGGGCAAACTGGAAACCTTGTTTAAAAACGGGATCACTAACAGGAGAAATCTTGAGTTAAAACAGGGCTGCCTCTTGACTGACATCAAAGGGAACCACCGAATCGCGAGGTAAAAAAGCATCAAGAAAGGAAACAGCCTGGTTGTTGTTTCACTAAATAGCGCCCCGAAAGGGCTGTCTACGTTACTTTAAAAAAAAAAGAAAAAGAAAGAAAAGAAAAGAAAAAAGTTGTGCGACACCGTCTGTCTCCGAACGGGAATGCCCAAACACACCCAAATGCTGTAAGACGGCCCCCAAACTCCCACACCTGCCCGAGTCAGAGAGGCCCTTCCCCGGCCCCATCCCACCCTCGGGGTAACGCCCGCGACCCGGGCCCCGGCCGCGGGAGGTCGCCGTGCTCCCTCCGGGGGATCTAGCGCCCCGCCGCGCCCCCTCCCTCCAGCCCCGCACCCCCGGGCTCGGCGCAGGAGCCCAGGCCCGGCCACGCCCCCCCAGGGATAAAGGGTGACATGGCGGCCCCCGCCCTGCCCCCGCGCGCGGCCCGGGGCGGCCTCGCTCACCCACACGAACAGGCTGTCCGAGAGCAGGTACTGGGCCACGTCGCGGGCCCGCGGGCTCCCGGCGGCCAGTGGGGCGGGCGCGTCGGGCTGCAACTGGGCCGTTAGCGGCTCCGGTTCGCCGGGCCCGGCCTCGGGCTGGCTGAGGGCGCGGTAGGCGCTGACGATGGTGCCGATCAGGGCCAGGCCGCTGAGGCCCGTGTAGGTGCGGAGGCTGGGCCAAGGGAAGCGCTCGAGGAAGAGCAGCGGCATGGCGGCCGCGGCGGCCTCCCGCCCCCAGGGATCCCCGCGCTGCGGCCAGGCGCCCTGCGGCGGCCTCGCAAACGGCGCCCACTGGCTCTGGCGTCGCCGCCGCCGCCACGCCGGGCCGCTCCGGGCCGCTCCTGGCTGCTCGCACCACTCCGCCCCGCGCCGCTCCCGCTGCTGCCCCTGCCGGCGCGGAAGAGCCTCGGCGGGCTCGGGGCGGGCCGCCGCCGCCGCCGCCGCCGCCAGCGGGACGCGGGCGGGACGGGCGCAGGGGCGCGGCCTTCGTCCCCCGCCCCCAGCGGTCGCGCCGCCGCCCCGCGGGCACGGGCCGGGCCTCAGGCCCAGGGGACCGACACCCAGCAGCATCCTTCGCTATAGCCGGGCCACCGGCCCGTGACACCTGGGCGCACACGGACCCGCGGGCGTTGACGCCCCCGCCCCGCCCGGTTACCCCTGAGCAGCTTCCCGGGAGTCCTAAAAGGAACAAGGTGTTCAGGAAATAATAGAAGCCCTGACAACCCTCCCCCCAAGAGAGAATACTAATCGGCAGTCTTAAATTTGTATTTTCAACTGGCCTCCAGCAAAACCTTTAAAAACAAAGCCAATTGAGAAAATAAAGTGTTCCCTCATACACTGCATTTCAAAGTGTAAAATGGTGCAGCTTCTTTGGAAAGTTATGTCGAAGGTAAACACAAGTGACTATTTGACCTAGGAATTACACACCTCGTTTTATAGCCAAGAGGAATGAAAATACACATCCACACAAAACTCTTACACAAATGTGGACAGCAGCAGGGAACTCAGAGGGTAATAACCCTAATGTTCATCAAGTGATGAGTGGGTAAATGTGGGCAACCTATACAATGGAATATTATTTAGTTATAAAAACAAAGTGCTGATACATGAATGGATAAACCATCCAGTTCTTGGTAACTGCATACTACTCCATGAGACAGGAAGAGGAGGCTGGACACAGAGGGCATGAATACTTAATGTGCCAGAAAGGCTGGACCATAGTACTGCCTGTCAGTTGAGCTCCCAAGCTGAAAAGGTAGCAGAGGCAGTAACACTAGACTTTAAGAGGTCCATCCTACAGCGAAGCTCATGATGAAAGCTAGAGACCTCCCCCACCCCACCCGCGTTTTAGGGTACCACTAATACCTTCTATATTAGAGACTCTGAGTAGACCCTTCCCTCTCAAGTGATTGACAGACTGAACTTCCTGCCATCTTTGTTGGATGGTGGCTGATTTGGCCTCAAAGGAAATGTCATTTCAGATGAAGCAGTTTATGCAGAGTAAGATTCACACCTAGATACATTATTTTCATTTTAAAATTGATTTTTACCATCCTGTGACTGGCTAGTTTTGTTGTTGCTTAAGATTCTCAGAATCCTAGGAGGTGAACTTCACCATCTAACCCAGTAACCTTAACTGTATTCCCATACATTTCTGCTGGTTTATGAGCTGGACCAATGTGCTCTACTGCTAAAGCTATCAAAGAGGGAAAAAAAAAATAATGGAGACATTTCCCTTTTTATCTTGTCTTTCATATGTACTTTTCATAAGTCTTTGGTGCCTGCTACAAATACACAGTAGTAAAATTTTCAAAATAACTTTATCAGATTTTGTTTAATGTTATAAAGGTTCAAAGGTTACGGTTTTATCATACATACACATAATCCCATATTTTAGGTAAACTGTTCCTATCTAAGACACTGAATTAATTACACAAACTACATAAGCAGCAAGCATGATATGTCACAGAAATTCCAGGCAAGTTTGAGAAAAACATGAAAGGAGTCAACATTTTCTGCAGATGAGCAGAGCCCTCGATGACATGAAAGACATGCAGTTAATAACTCATCTCTGTTCCAACTTCCAAATCCCAGTCCTCAGGCTCCAAATCCAGTGACCTCTTCAACTGCAGGAAACCAAATCCTCTAAGAACATAAGGCACAATAGGGCAGGAAGGGGAAAAGAGAATCAACAGCCCAGGCCATCCGGTCCTCAGCCACTGACACTGAAAAAGAACCCTCCAAGGTTACTACTGACACACCATGATCAGCAACCCCACACGCAGGAAGGACTATCCAAAACAATCAAAGAGTCATTCTGTTTTAAATATTTTTATTGAAATGACAATAAAATAAAAAAACAGTGACCTTTTTTAATCAAACTCTTGCTTTACAAATACAAAAATATAACCAAAACTTCAAACAGTTTCTTTTTTACATTTCCTATAAACAATACCAAAGAGTTCTCAAAGCCAAACTATTTGGGGCTTGTACACTACAACATGTGAACACAGTAACCAAAAGTTTGTTTTTTGCTTTCTGCGGTGCTGGGATGGAACCCAGGGCCTTAGGCATTCTAGGTAAGCACTCTACCAGTGAGCTGTTAAACCCTGGCCAAAGTTAGTTCTGAAATACATTGATCTTATGTAGAACAATGCATAATCAACATATTTTCCCAACTTATCTCCAAATTCCTCACTAAAATACAAAATATACCTAAACTGGCTTAATCTAGACTTACCCAGATTTTAGTAAGTTTTTCTCAAAACAGGCTTAATAAATAGCAGTATTAAGATACATTTATGCCTCAAGTCAAATTGCAGTACTGTTTCTCATATTTAAACAACAAAAGCAGAGTCCAGTTTAACCTGAATAACTTGTTTGATGACAAACAAGTGGAATATGGGAAGATCACATCTTATATTCTAGAAGTCAAATAAGCCTTCTTTGCAGTAAGTGTCTGAAGCACCTTAGCGATCCACATACTGTTCCAAACCCTATGAACTGGCAAAAACATTAAGTTTAGGAACTCAAATAAGTAAAAGCTACCTTACAGCAGCATTTCATCTCAAGTGACTGAGAAGGAACTTTTAAAAATAAAGTCATTAAGAATGCTAAACTGATTATTGCTGGCTTAATGAATCTGCCAGACCTCTAGCTCTCATTTGTAATTAAACACAGAAAAAAACAGATCTGCTAATTTGATTATAATTTGTCCAAATGCAATGCTAATTTAATGGAACTTTGAAATATCCTAAGTAAATGCTAGTTGCAAGGTATGACAATGATGAAAAAAAAAATTCTCTTCCAGATATTCTGTTAGTGGTACACATTCATGTAAAGAATTATCATAATGCCACTTAAAATATTACCTGCTTTTTACAAAAATCACAATGGTTTCCATCACTTAGGAAAAAAAACTTTACTTATCTTCAAAGGGATATAAGTCAATCCTAAATATGACTTCAAACAACTGAGTAAAACTTTTAAAAATTTTCCACTATTCTATTAAACATTTCCTAGTGTCATTTAGTAGTTTTATATAGAACATGCAGTGCTAGGATTTCTCAGGGAAAATATGACTACATACACCGTGGTTGTACAATGCAAAAGAGAGCTTCCATTTGTACACACACCTGGAATATAGTAGGTACTCAATAATGTCTGTTAATCAAGAGTTTATTTTAAAACTCTACAGTATTTAATATATACATCATTGGAATGCACAATTTAAGACTCAGCTCCTGAAGAAGTTATATACCAAAAGATCTAATGTCAAACAGTACCCTGTACTCTCTTCTAATACTCATAGGAGCAAACTCAAAATAGAAAGTAGGATCTAATTATACTTGGCCAAAGAGTTTTAAAACTTTGTATTTGTGTGATTCGAATTTTACATTCAAAGCCAGACCTATTACATCCCAAGCTTAGTACGAGCCACCTAAATCAAAGATTTTGCTCCCTGGGCCCCAGCATATAGATGACTTACTCACTTACATTGGAAAGAAGTGACCAAGACAGAATTTTCTAGGTTAAAGTTTAAATTACAAAGGACAAGAGTGGCCTTGAATCAGATGTCTCTTCACTTAAACACTTCTTACTGACAGTACTCTATAAATCACAACCAGAAAAGGTCTACCTTTCACCACCTTCCCAGAATAACAAGGGCTGACATCTGAAATGTGGTCACTGGAGTTTTTCACTGAGATGCCAAAGCAATCATGGTAGATGAGCTCAATCAACCCATATCCTTCTCTGCCTTCCCTAATCTGAATGATTAGCTGGACTCTAATGAGTAAAACTATACTAAATTAGAAATACCGTAAGTGTAAACCAGAGGGGCAAGACTGGTGGCCCTTGAGAGAAGAGGACTAGCCACAGAACTAGTGGCTTTCTCAAAGAAAATCAGTTATCATCCTTGGTTATGAAGACTGATGCTCATGACATGGGCACAGTTACAGTCACTACTTTACAACCATGTAAAGGCTGGACTTGGTTTTTAATTCCTCAGTCACTCTTGCCTGATTTTCTCAAGCCTAAATAGAGAACAATATAAGACCTACCTTTGACATTATTCAATATTCAGAAACTAATCTTGTGATGAGTACCATAAAAAATATTAAGAACTCATTAAAAGTTCATTTCTGAGCCAGGCATGGTGGTACACACCTGTAATCTCAGCACACGGGAGGCTGAAGTAGAAGGATTTTGAGTTCAAGGTCAGCCAGGGCTTCTCAGACCCTAACTCAAAAAATAAAAAAAATAAAAATTCATTTCTGCCTATCTAGTAAAAACTTACCAATCTACATCTTGCAAGATTTCCTTTACATTAAGCCTACAGTCAACAAGTCTGTAATAAAGCATACACAAAATACTCTGACATTAAGTAATGACACAAAGTCCTTTGTCCTAAACTTCTTTATACTTCCTGTAATTTGATCCTAATTGGCAATCTTCCTAAAAGTTTTTCTTTTTGTCAAATTTGGTATTCTTAAGACAGGTAAAATCTGTGCCCTGCTGTGTCCCAAGAGTTCAGTTGATTCAGATTATTCCAAAATATTTTTGAAAGGCTTTGTCACTTGCTATAACCAAGTTTCATCTCTATGGATATAACCTCAAGTTAATTGAGATAACTATAATCTAAGAGTTCAAAACCTAATAGTTCCCCCCCATGGCTCTAAGAATAACTAAGACACAATTTCACAACATCATAAATAAAACTCCCATTACACGAAGAAAAAAAACCCTAATGGAGCTCTTTTAATACCAATTTCCATGAGTAATGACCCAGCCAACTCGAATGGTTTCAGAGTTTAAGATCTGTGTTTATGAACTAAGATCTTTATGACTATAAAACATATTGATCAGTTAATTACTAGGAGTTCTCTATAATAGAATT